CGAACGGTCCACTAGTTACCATTAGAATTCAAGACCTTATTGCCTCATAGAAGGCAGAAGGCGTTGTAGCATCACACACACTTCCCCAAAATCAGTAGCCCAGGGTTTGACGACACTCGAAATTAATGCTGACCCTGATAGTTTAACTGGACTCGCTAAGCTGAAGGCACCCGGTCAAGCATCCTCGCCATTTGGCACGCTTTCGTGTTACGTTGCACTGCTTGTATTCGACTCTCTAACCGGTTAGTTGGAACGCATAAGTATCTTGGCACAACCATGCAAATATACCATTCCATCCGACTACACTATCGTGTTCTTCCTTGGTTTCGTACTCGTGAGTATATACCAAGTCCGAATAATAGTGATTGGTCTTTGCGTCTGTGAAGTTTGCACGAGGACAGATCCTAAAGCATAAAGGACGGTTCCGAACTCTGTTTAAACGGAAAAAGACCTACTTTTCCCCTTATTCGGTCGGTTATTTGGTATGGAACACATATGAGCACATCGGAACAGCGCTATATACTGCCTATGATCCTACAATAATTTTATTTCAACTAGCCCCATTTCTTACATCACGAAAACATAGTTCCACATCTGTTCTCGGGGAGCTTTTATCCTAGTCTGCTCCAAAGACGAATATTTATGAGTGTTTGTATATTGTTACCATAACGAAGTTACGATTAATCTATCTCCTGGATGAAGATTGATAACACACCAATATGTCATCAACAGACCAATGGTATTTAGTGACTGAAATAGTACTTCACAGATAAAATCTCTGCAGCAGTATGGTAGTTGCTCATAATTTTATACTTTATGTTGACTAAGTAGATTACTGGTTAGCTGCAAGGAACTTTAAGAAGGTAAGTGCTTTGAATGGTAGAATGGGTGGCAGTATTGTGGACGAAATTCACAACCATTTTTGCAGGGGGGTTAACGGCAGGTTGGTAGAGAAAGAGACCGGATTGTAGTAAGTGCTGCAGGACTATGAAGATATGCGTTTCCTATTACCTTGAAGATTCACAGTAAGCACCCTGGTGGAAGCTAACTTAGCTCATGGCGATCGCAAGCATAACTTAATGACAGAAGATCACGTTTTCCAGCTAAGAGTTCGTGAAGTGAGGATGGAAGAGGAATTTCTGATCTTTTGTACAAATAATAGATGCAGATCGTAAGAATTTACGAGCCAAAAAAAACTTCAATACCTTATGGAAGGAATATGTATTCCCGGAATAATTATTTTCAGCATTTCACAGTTCTGGTACCGCAGTTTAAGGGCAGCGCCTGTAGGGGAAGCCAGGAAAGTAACATCAGAATGAAACGAGTAGTCTGGCGCACTCCTTGAGTAGTGACGTGTTTCGCTCGTCTCTCAGCTTTTGGATTTTTCCACAATGAAAAACTCCCACTTGCAATACTCAATCTAAAAACATCGAACGTTTGCAGCACTTCTGTCCGTCCACGCACCTCACCCCTGCGCATTCGTCAGCTCACTCCTCAACAGTTGAAAATTGGCATTATTATTCCTTTGAACCAACCGGTCTACCTCCTGTCAGTGGTTCTTGGGCGTTTCAACTGCCAAACTGCCTTAGCTCTCGGTTCTCCTCGGAGGTCATTCCCCAGGAAATATCTTTCCTGGTTATACATACGCATCTGGAGCTTACGGTTAAACTCGTTGGTCAAGAGCAGAGGATCAAGTGACAAGTGTCTGAAGGTGAGCCAACATAAATTATCTTCCCTTTTCTATTCTGTCCTTTTGCTGCATTCAGTCTTCAACCCTCTTATTGTTGTTAACTACTTGTTTTCCCAAGAAGTTTATATCATAGCGACATGTCTGCCCAAAACGCTAGGTCTGAAGCTTTGACACGGATAACGCGGTCGTGCACAACAACGGCCAGTAACACCCTAAACAACACACTAGTCTGTACTAGAAGACAAACAGAGGTAGGGCAGAACACCGAACTTCTGAAGAAGTGGCCAACCCATGTTTCTAGAATTCCAGTAGCCATCAGACAGGTGACACAGAGTAGCACTAGCCCGTCACAAACTAGTCCTATCTTGAGCAAGGATCATACCATGCCTGAAATAGAAGACGACGTAAAAGGCTTCAGAACAAGGCAGCCACAAGCAGTTCGCCACAATCCGTAGCACCTTATTCATGGAAGGAAGGCTGTATTACGACACCCGATGGCTGCAGTGTTTGCACCAAAGTTGTTTCGGTAGTCGATGAGGCATTTGCATGCAACCTGTGTCAACGATGGGTGCATTGCCACTGCGATACCAAAGTCCCCCGACAATACTATAAGCTGATGAAGAGACAACCATGCAAGTGGTTCTGGTACATCTGTCCAGAGTGCAGGAAAATGCCCGCACTCCGCACAGAAAGCCTGAAGGAGATGCTCTCCGCCACGCAAAAGCTACCAGCATCCTCGAATAAAGTAGGGTTAACACCAAAGGATAACACAGAGAGACCTGGAAACAGACCTAGAGCTCCAGCTGTGGGCACGCCCCTCGCGTGGGGACCATATTAGGTCAAGTCTCCATACCCCCTACCCGGCCCCAGGGGACGTCAAGCGCATGGCCAAAGACATCGACCGCCGAAGCCTCTACGAAACCCATTCCGAACACCCCACACACCGTGACTGAGAAACAACCAGTGGAATTACTCAAACCCATTTGGAAGTCGGGCGTGCCACCCACAACGAACCCAGGTCACAGGAGGACCAACTCGATCATTTTGTTCAACGTCGATGTATCGACAGACTCATTGTTGGTCGAGAGGGAACAATTTGACAGCCGAATGTGGACCGACTACTGTCAGATGCTGGGACTCCCTCCCCTCCCTGCAACTTTGTGTCGCCTTTCTCGAGGAAGCCATGCACCCCGAGATAAGCCACCCCCTTTACGTGTGTCCCTAAATACCGCCAAAGAGGCTGAAGACACACTCCTCCTCTCGCGACAACCGGACGTTGTTAATGCCTGTAAAATTCGGGCCAGGCCTGACAAGCCATGGTCAATAAGAGAGGAGGAGAGAAAGTCAGCGGTTGGAAATCCCAACAGAAACAACACTATAGTTGTACATGGGATTCCAGAATTGCCAAGTGACAGCTCGGTCAAAGATCGGTACTTTCACGACGTCCAACAATGGCAATGGCTCTCAACCAAAGTTGGTCTCAACAGTATACCGGCCAACAGCGTCAGTAGACTGCCAAGGCCAGCGCACCTGAAGACCATACCCAATCCCAGACTACTTGCCGTCCAGTTCGACTCATATGCCTCCCTCACAGACGTTCTGCACGCATGGTATAATGCGAAAGATCGCATGGGTGGCTCAATACGTATATGTGAAAGTAAGCCTAGACCCACAAGGCAAGAGGAGAGACGGCAACCACCAAGACCTCTGGAGTCAGTGGTCGTCACACAGGCGCTGACCAGTGAGTTAGATACATCAAGTAAAGAAGCCACCACTGCTACAGCCCCCACCCAAGTTAAGAACAAAACACAAAAAAACGGAACAATGCCAGTCCTATGAGGACTGGCGAGGCTAAATCAACCACGTAAGCGCTCATCCCGCGAAAATACACATCCAGACCTCCCCTCTCATCAGGCACACTCTAATATGTATGTACAGCAACGTTAGGGGGCTAAGAGGGAAGGTAGCAAAATGAGGACGCTGCGTGAACATCAGCACTCCGACATCATATTCATCACCGAATCCTGGCTCTCATCGGACATCTCCGACGAAGAGATGCGTGTTGCTGGCATGGAACTCTTCCGCAGGGACAGGGAACATAGAGCAGGAGGGGGAGTGGCTATCTACGTAAACTCCTGTTTAAAGGCAAGGATGGTTAGCGATACGGCCTTAACCCAGCTCCCAGAGTCTCTATGGTGCTACTTCACTCTCTTCTTTATTCTCTCTTCATTCCTTTACCACTACCTTACTATTCTCTTTCAGGTACCTACACAGACAGGAGTCATGGCAGTTCTCTAAACTTCCCAGCAACCCGTAGCTCCCTAATCACTCTACAAATTACAACCTACTAACCCACAAAACATCCACCTCACCGAAGCTAAAAGCAAGAAAGCAGAGGGATTTCCTCGTCCACTGCAGGAGTAAACCGAACAACTGGAACCAAGCCCTAAGAACTAGACGCGAGAGATCAAAAACTACCAGTTTTCTACGCTCGCACTATCAATATTGGATATTGGAACAAACATGTGACATTTATTCGAGGCGACCCTATGTAATCACCGACGAACTTTGGTAAAGGTATCCGTCACAAGTAACAATGGTCGCGGTTGTTCATATATCAAGCCGCATTCGAATCTATTTAGCTTTGTGGAATTGATGACTATTTTCAGGGTAAGTTACAGCTTCATTACGCCAGATATTCGCTGCTCAATATATGGCACATCCGATTTCTTGTGATGAATGCTGGTTAAGAAAGAGGAAACGCAGTGGAAAAATGCCTTCAAAACATGGAAGACAGCTAAACGTAAGGTTCTGCTAATAAGCCACGGGGATTTTAATGACGAGAAATTGGTAGATCCATAGGCCAATCACTAGTTATTCACGTTTGCATAATACCTAAGAATCCCAGAACAAGGGAGAACACAATAAGTTAACCAGGTTGGAATAGCATATTTGATAGACCGTGTCGAAACACCGGTAGGTTCCGACCAACTGGCTACAGGATGGAGTATGAGCAGCGCAGCGTATCACGGAAACGTCCCAAATGACGTGATTGCTCTATCATGAGCCCTCAACTAAGCTGCTTTGTTAAATTACTGAAGGTCAGCATCGATGTTAGATCACGTCAAACCCTAGGGTGATTATTCGTTGTATCTCTTCCTTTCAAACCACAATCATCATTTACTGTAGAGGGCTTCTATAGTAGTTACTATTTGGGATACTAGAAAGCTAGCGTCGATAAATAAGTCTGCATGTAAAAATATATGAAAAAAATATTGTGTATTAGAAGAAGCGCCTAATCGTCCAATATTACGTGTCTGTGTTCTCAGTCCTGAAGTTGGTGGGAAATTAATTATAGTGCCACTTTGCGTGTAAGGAAACTCGAGTATTGCTTTGATATACATTCGGACTTAGGCTTTATTTATTTAGACGTCGCCATTGTGTCATCTGGTTGTTGTTGCTCTTCGTTTGCGCCGAAGACTGATAACTATGATTAGAAATGATATTCTACATAGGATTTATTCGTTCCCTTGTTTGCATAATTGGGGCTAGATTTACCTCATGATCATGTTGCCGCTGGATAGTTATTAACTGGATGAATTTAGTGTCGATTCACTTCCTACATATGATGTTAAAGACTGGTAATATGTATGGTTTTTTTAAACTAACCAGTGTTTTACGATTACAAGTACATATTACGTGCTGTATATGGCTTACTGTGGATTGATGAATCTTATTTTATTTGCTACTCGCCACCTATGTAGAGATATCCATTTTTACATCAGTGGTAATGAACCACTGATAAATTGTCCACTTATTATTACTGGAAAACATGGGAGTCTGTAATAAGGTAGCATGTTACGTCACATAACAATAGTTAGATTTCAGTTTTGTCTTACGAGAATTCTGTGAGTAAAAGACACTTCTCATTAAAGAGTAAACATTGAAAAGCCATGATTTTTTTCGGTCACCAACTCCTACATGCTGTCTTCAGTAGTTTTCACTTGCTCCTTATGAATTTATCTGACTGCATTTGTTCTCAAACATGGAATATTGCTCCTTGGTCTAAGTTGTTAAGTGTGGAGCTAATCAGGGGCGAACAAAAACAATCGAAAGTAGTGATCTCAAGTCAGCAATTTGCCAGGTAACCTTAAAGAAAATTTGAACTAACTGGCGTTTACGAAACTCAACAACAGCATCAGAGACGTTCTAATGCTCCTAGTCATGTTAGTTGGCTGACGTTGATAATGCTGCAACGACCAGTCAGAATCCATTGACCCAGTTACTGTAACGAATACCATTTGCTTAGAAGATACCAATATTCGTCTTAACAACAGGATACAGTTTTTGAACCTATCATCTCAAAGAACATGTATTGTAACTGGTTCGGCTTAAAAAGACTTAAAGACTGCTCACGTAACCTGGTCCAGGTAACAACTTTACGTAATTAGTTTGCTCTTTTTTGAGGTTGATTATGTACCATTGCATCTTTTGTCCAAGAGATTTTCTTCCTACTTCCCCCGATATGATTGATGACTGCCCGTTTTTACTGAGTAGTTATTGGAACTCATATAGTTGGTCTTCAGTTCGACGTTGCTGTTCCTTATCTTTGACACGGATGAGACCAATTTGAAGGCAGCCGTAAAGCATGCAGCCAAATTTGGTCCAGTAGTAGACCGATTGGGTGCTTAAACATGTTCACTCAATGTTAGCTCCAAGCTCTCAATATAAGGATGACACCACGGCAGCTTTTGCAAACTGGTTACATACGTTAAACTGGATATTTTGTTCATGATCGTGCCTCCTGCCCATGAAATGTATTTAGTGTCAAGGTCATGTTGTTAATACGCATTGTAATTTCGAGTTCAGTAAAACCTATCCATTATGCATAGTTTCACTTCCATCGGACAAGCAGTCTTATAGTGGTGTCCAACTGAAAAAAATGTCGCATAATTGAATATCTGTTAAAGGCTGTGTGATCGAACACCTGTGGGCATATTAGGGCCTGTGGTGAGGTATCTGGTGAGTTGTATATATTGGATGGTCCACCTAAACGTTGTCCAACCTCTCCATTCTTATTCATTTGTCGTAGACGTGCTTATGTCTTCCTCTTGTCTAATTACAGGAATTTACCTTATCACAGGAGATTCTTTAGTAGACCTAGAGTACGCAAATTTCAGGGTCAGGTTGAATAAAGACGCTGACAAGATGCAAAGTTCTCTGCACACATTAGGTGGCAATTCCAAGATGCTTCGAATGCGTTCTTCACCATACAAGTACAAATCGCTGCTGCTTGACTGGTTTGCATCGTTGCCTCGTGTAAGAGTACGAAATGAATTATTGAGGACGTTGATCAATTCACTTGAGAAATTGAATCAATCACGGTGGGTCAGTGACTAATGAAATCTCTGCACTGGTACACTCGTTTGGCCTTTACCAACCTTCGTCATTTATGGCGCTAGCATGATATACGGTCCCCTGTTAATGGCTGTTAAACGCTGCAGTACGCTCTTTTCTATTATATGACTATAAATCATGGCTATTAAAGGTAGACATAAGAAGGCTTCAGTTGTTCGAGTGCCATTGTCTTTGTAGCACAGCCCACGTCGTAGGTCCACCTCTTCAGTAACACAGTGGGCAGACTCAGAGCTGTAGGCAAGAGGTAAGTCAGTTATTTACGTTGTATACCGTTGTTGACACGTGCCTAGGACCTGTTACGCATGCCAGGTCACTACCTACCTATTCACTCAATAGTAGTCGATCTTGGTTTTGCTGGAACAAAGGTGAAGGCGGTTGGACCAAAACATACCATCTGTGCATGGTTTCTGACTGTTAGTCTACGTCGTTCATAATGTTAAATTACTATCGAATACCTTTTTGTTGGCGACCACAAATTACGGTATTTATTATAATGAAGCCGTTCATGTCTTTTTTTCATGATCTCTAAAGCCAAAGATTTGGTTTGCTCTGGGAGTATTATTCAGGATTCCAATGCGCCAACCAACAGGACTCTTGCCGAAGATGTGACGTATTGGACTAAGTATTCAACTTCAAACCAGTAGGCTACGACTTCAAATACCAGAATACCTAACTTGGCCTGGACAACCAAGCAGTATCATATGCCTCACAAAAGTGACATAACCTAGTACATAAGCACATGTACCAGGCTGACGTGTATTAATAATTACGTCGTTATATTCTCATTTGAAGGTGTCTATGAGTAGTTCTAGGGATGTCACCTTACTAATTCTAGGTCCACCTTTTCAACTTCAGATTGAAAGAAATATAACAACATTCTATTTTTGCTGTTAATCTTATCGACCGAGTCATTTAACCTTTAATCGGCAGGTCACAAATCTAAATTTTATGATATAAAGTCAAGGGAACCATATAGTATCATAAACCCTTAAAATGTACCCTGTGGTGTGATACCCGAAACTCTGCGTGGTTATTGTATTGCCCATTCCATTGTTATTACTTATTATGGCCCTAAATGTAAATCTGTAAGAAAGCTAAAAATTTCTAGTTATTCTGTTACAACTGAAGGTGAGTTGATTCCATTCTTCCTCGTGGAATACCCTCATAAGGTCGTGAATTTATTGCTCCTACCAAACAAGTGCTTTTTACAACCTCCGCTTTGTGGAGGTGGAACAGTGTCCCATCGGTTTAGGCCGTCGACTATCAATAAATTGGGTTGCCGTTTCGGACACCGAGGTTTTGGTAATATCATTGTTCCGCACATTTTACTTGTGGTTTATTGTCTACTGTATGAATGTACACGTGGTTTTTGTGTGCATTTCAACTTTGCGGTGATTTCATACAACTGAAAGGATGACAGCGAATTTCTTGTGCTTATCACTTGTTTAGTTAGTAATGAGGTTCTACCTAGAGGAGTTTAAAAACTGATTGTAAACCAGTGGCACACATGGCTTGCAGGGTCCAAAAGGAACTAATATCGTTTGAATGTACTTTAATCATAGGGAACCATGAAAATATAGCACCTAGTGTTACTTCAAAAACTCAGGAAGTGACTCTACACAACTATCTTTGGCAAGCGTTTACGAACGATATCTCAACTTTCATGCAAGCTATGTAGCTAAACTTACAATGAAAATCTCGAAGGGTTCAATACTCACTGATGAGTTGTTTCTAGATAGATTTCCCAAGGTGTTTATGAAGAATTCTCTAACATGGTTCAAAAAAGAAAGTCTTTGTTGATGTTGTCTGTTTTCTAGATATTGGTTTTTTTCCCCATCTAATCTATGTGGCGTGATAAACAGCAGTTCACTCTATGTCACATACCCCAACTAAATTAGTCGACGAATGCCCATAAAGTCTGATATATTCCTTTATTTATTACTTTACACATTCATCAGATGACAATTTAGCCCTTATAAAGGTAATGGTGTCCAAATACTTCAAATTGTCACAAACCCCCTGTATTTAATGATCATTTTCCGTAACCAATGCTACGTAATAAGCAGATCATTTAATACAAATATTCTTATTTAATTGGCATCACCAGTATTTCTTTCAAGTTATCACCGGGAGCTAGTCGATAACTTGTGTCTGTGTTCAAATTTCGTTGGTCATCAACCACTGGGACTGATTTGACTTCATACGGTTATAAAATCTCTGATACTTAGTCCTACAAGCTACTTGGAACTAGCTAGAGTTTGAATAAGTATACTTTTTGGGCATAATTTCAGCACTGGCATATCAGTTTAGTTTTATCCATCTACGCAGTGCTTAAGATTCAAACGTTGAAGGTAAGCTATGAATATTTTACAGGAATAGCAATTTAGCTGTTATCGATTTCTTTTTCAGATTTGTGTATCGATCTATTAAACTACCAGTTTGATACAAGCTTTGTTGACTGCGCATCTGTTACGGACATCAAGAACAGCTGATCTGTTCATTAAAATACCAAACAGTTTACCTCCCTGAATTGAAACCAAGAGAACGAGACAAGTACCTTAATAAATCCTGTATCCTCGTTCCAATAGAATATCCTTTTGGAACTTTGAGATAAAGAACTTGAATTAATTATTCATAATCCTAAAGGTCAAGAGATGGCGTGTATTTCATTTGATGAAGGCAATATTTGCAGCTTTTTGTCCAGGAAATGGGCTTTCGATTTCAACTCCAAGTATGTTTGTACTTTTAGAATTAATCCTTTGTATAGACCACGCATTGCTGCTTCAAATCAAGCCAGTGCTCCGGAATTAAAGCATCCTCCTGGTTATGTTGATCGTTCATTCCCAGCTACCACAGTTCGTGACTCAGACCCACATCTCATGCGTCAAAGAAGTTGGAATATTGCACTAGGACCCTTCCGGCAGGTGCCGATGAACTTATTTATTATGTGGATCTCTGGCAGTTCTATATCCATATTTCCTTTGATGTCTGTCATTATGCTGTTTTTACGCCCGTTGCAAGCGCTCTTTTCCGCACAAAACAGTAAGCTTATATGTTTTAATACTTAGCTACCAACTTCCTTTTTTCACTGTCATGGCTGTGTAATTTGAGTTAAGTTTCGGATGAAAATGTCAACGTTGTTTGTGTCTCATGATTTCAGGAAGTGGAGACATGTTTCTTTTCTTCTTATCTGAGGGTCCTAAATTTGATGCATTTTCGAATGTGATTACGTTTCCCCTTTTTTTATAACACTGAAGTGCTCCAAAGAAAAAAAGCCCTAGTGGCTAAGTTGATGAAAATACACTGCTTTACATAAATTCTTGCATTTCCACCTGTGGTGAATTTGTTAACGTGAAAGTTGGTGAGCTATTTTCGACTCTTGATTCGGTTGTTGGATTTCACATGATTCATTTGTGTTACTTATACTTAAGTGTGGAAACATGGTGGTATGCTTATAATTCAGCGCTCTGTGGATCCTATTTAGGAACTCTTCAGTTAATTATATTTGCTGGATTTATCAATACCTGTGATGAAATGTTTTCATCAGACTGTTGTGATGCTCAAAAGCGTATGAAATTCCAAGTACAAGGTTAGTTCTGGATTTCATATTTCAAGTTAACTGTGCTGCTTCAAATCTTTCTGGACCCAAGTACTTTTGTTGTTTCTTGGTTCTTATGGTAAGAACATACCTTCTCTTAGCTCGACAAGATACTAACAAGATGCATATTTAGGTTCTATTAAAAACATCTAATTCATATATGATATAAACCAGGAGTATTGCGTTGTGTATTATGATAATTCTAAGATATGCATAGTAGCTCTGATTTCAAACCTATGGATATCTAAGACTTTTCAGCATAAATAGTCTAATATTGGACCCGATATCTACATTGTTAAACATTAACTGTCATCTCTGAAGCTCTTATTGACAAAAAAAACAAACAACTTAGTTTCAAAACGACTTTTAGTATTAATGGACATAACCTTAGCCGCCTCTAACTTCACATTGATTGGTCCACTCTCCGTGTGGCATCTAGTTAGCTTAGAGTTCGCAGATAATGTCTTCCTGCTAGATGAAAACGCTGACAAAATGGAGGGTCTTCTGAACGCCTAGGGCAGAAATCTGAGTATGCTTGTCATGCGTTTTGCGGCTGTCAAATGTAAGAAAATTCTTCAGGATTGGTCTGCAACTACTCCCAGTTTAACAATAGGGCGTGAAGTAGTCCAATATACCAATTACTTCATTTGCTCAACAAGTTTTATTAACCTGAACGGGCTGGTTGCTGACGAAATCTCAGCTCAAATACTGAAGGCCCGTTTGGCGTCTGTCAACTTGCATCACCTCTGGCGTTGACTGGCGAGATATTTGACTATCTGTTAACGGATGAGTATACTGCGCTGCCTTCCGTTCTGTCCTGTCGTGCGTCTGTGAGTTATGGCCGTTGAGAGTAAGAAATATGAAGACACTAGAAGTTTCTGACCATAGGTATCTTTGTCACATTGCTCACGTAGAATATAATCACCATATGACCAATAAAGAGGTTGGGTGAAACGTTCTAGATAAAGCAGGGAATTCGGTCAATGAGATAGCGGCACATAAAACCCAATCATATATATATATATATATATATATATATATATATATATATATATATATATATATATATATATACAAACTGCCTCAAAGTTTTGGGGTTATCTGATATAAATGTGGACAACAAATTATGTCCGAAATGTTATCCAGTAAATAATACTGTTTCACTCCACAGGGATTTCTAATAAACAAACTAAAATGGAATTATGAACTGCCTTTTTCTCCTTCCTTACCTTAATTTCCTGATACCATTATTAAATCTTGAAATTTCATCAACCTCACCTTCCAACCATCGCTTGCGATCCAAGCCAGTTAAACACCATTCCTCATCTTCTAAGTCATCGCTAACAATTCCCCATTCACCCTTTTTAGCGTATGAATCCTACGCCATCGAATAATAGGCGTCACTTGCTGAAACTCCGAAATCTCTGTCTATGCATCTAGTTTTTCAGACACGTATACAGAACACAAATGCAATTGTTTACTCAACCCATCAGCGCAATATAGTAATATTATAAAATTCCTTTTACGAGTGTCTGTAGATTCAATACTTATCTTGAGTGAACTTGCTGCTGCAGGTATAGCATTAAGTTCTCTAGCAGAAGCTGAGCGGATCATTAAAAACTGGAAAGGATCGTGACGTTCTCCGACACCCATTCACAATTTCATCTGCACTCACCAGCTGAAGTTCGTATGATAAAAAGGTTCAGTCCTACCAAAAGTCGTCAATTTTGCGACGAATGATACACGGTTTGAGCCTCAATGAGAATAATATCACTCACTAGGGTGCAAGTGCATTCAGCTGACAAGTCCCAGACGGAACGAAACGCGCATCCTGGATTCCTCTGCTAGCCACACTCAAGTAGACTGCAAAGCAAGCTTCAGATATTGTCACAGCAGCAGGTAACGTCGGCGCTCAAATAGAGAAGCTGAGCTAGTCGAAAAGACGTCTACAGTATTACCTGCCGACGAACTGATAACGGTGATCGCCTCTTACAACTTTATTCTAAGAATCATCTGTTTCTGGCGAGTACTAACTTCAGACATAGGGAGAGACAGTATCTCACATGGCATCCGCCATGAACAAGTAGATCATACTACTGTAAGCCATCGTTGTGCAGGATCGGTGGGGGGTTGCCGCTCTTTCTGGAGAACTTATTCGGACTCCAACCGTGACTTAGTATGAGAACGTGCATGTCTGCGTTTTACTGGTCACAGAAACAGCAGCATTTAAGCCTGTGCTCGCTCGATAGGATGACGAGAACACGAAGTGTTTTATTCAGGGAGGAGGTAGCTAAGTACTTATCCGGACATGTCGGCAACCCTCTTGCTGATGAAGTCTGTTGTAATATTCAGTCTACTGTAGAAACAGACGTAAACTAGTTGGTAACCCACATTCAAACGCTAGCGAAAGCTAGTGGATTGCCGCAACCTCCTCCGAAATAATTGAGATGAAAAAGCTCATTCCGGCTAGTGGTGGATGACGACACATGGAGAAGGCATTAGTTGTGATAACAGTCAACACCCAACTAGCCTTATTTCACATCCTACCAAAAAGACAATGCTTTGTGAAATAATCACTGGAAAGGGATGGGATAACCTGATGACCTCTCAGGCGAATATGGCTAGAACATCAGGCAGACTATCACTCAAGACAACAGTTCAGCTAGCACACAGCCACGCTTCATTCGCCCAACTTCCAGCTTGAACCTCAGTGAGACTCAGATGTTTATCTTCCATCTTTCCTCGAAGTTAAGGATGCTGTTTCGAAACTGAAACAATGCAAAGCAGCACAACTTGACCGTTTGTCACTAGGATTTAAGGATATATGTGGGAAATTATTTGGTAGAGTAACGGAGGTACAAAATAACATGAGAATCAGAAGTCTACTTCACTGGTCATTCCAGTCGATAATATAGGAACCTTCTTGCGACAACCGTGGGGTATAGGTTTGATCAGCAGCGTGTCCAGCATCCTGGGGTCCATTGTTATCCAAAACCTAATTGGAGCTCGAGGACAACAAACGTAAGGAAACCAGGTAGATTTCAGGCATTGCCAAAATCGAAGCAATCATAGATTCTTCCTTCTACAGGTCTTGAGAAGTTAGCATACTTACTGTCACCTGACACTTGCCACATTTCTTGACTTGAAGGGGGCGTTTTTCCCAGTCCTTGAGGTGTTGTAGCAGTTCCTGACTGCGAAGGCAGTACCACGCAAGTATGTAGTGCCAATCAAGGCTGTCTACTCGAAATCATGCAGCTGTGTAAGGGTTTATAAGGAGTTGTCATGGTAAGTAACGACCATCACCGTTCCTGTTCAACTTCGTTATACATGTGATTATAAAGATGACGCCGAATTTCAAAAGGATCGACCTACTCCCTGCATGGCATCTGGTTGACCTGGAGTACGCAGATGATGTGACATTGTTACGCTAGGATGCCGACAAAATGGAAGGTTTCCTAAACGCCAAGCATAGATTTCTGCTCGTGTCCAGAGGACCCTGCATTTTGTCAGTGTTTTCACCTAGGAGGACAATGTTGTCTTCATACTCGGTGACCTCCAAGGAGTAGATCAATCCCAATGAAGTCAGACGTACCTAAGGTTATGTCCGTTTTTAGTTGTCATACTTCACACCAGTAAAGTTGTAAATCGAAAATAGCATGTTATCGTCCAGAAAACTAAGTGGCAAAAAAATTAATGAAGGTCCAGAAAGTGTGAAAACTGGACGTATTTGTCATATGTTGTTAGTCCCTAGCCTTTCAGTCTATTTATACCTCTTAGGTTAATGCAGCGTTTGTGTGACCATTTTTAGCTGTTTGCCTGATACTGTAGCAGCTAATATTACGTATCTAATGGATGGTGATTTGACCAGGCATAACTCACATAATTTGCCACATTGACGTTATCAACTAGTGAACTTCCTTGGCCTGAACTTATTGCCTACTGTGATTTCTCTACACATAAGCACATCTGTAACCGAAAATTTGCAACCTCTTCCTGTCCACTTTTGATCATCAGTTTTAGGGTTGGAAAGTAACTCTCGGTAACAAGTTGCATAATTTACCAGAAGCATAGAAGCAGGTTGGCATGTGTTTTGCGATCTTTTCCCATCTTTATGAGAAATCTCGTCAGCTACCAACCAGCTTATTAGGTTTCTGTCTGAACGAGTTCTCACTAATTGTTAACCAATTAATCTGTATACTTTGCAATATTTTTCTTTACAGCATTCAACCTTATTGAAGGGAGCCAAGCTACGATACAATGCTTGATGTATGTTCTTGGTAACCTTGTCATATTGGCTCTTGCTATGTATAAGTGTCACACTATGGGTTTACTACCTACTTATGCATCAGATTGGCTTTCATTTATAGAACCGCCTCAGGTATGTGCACTTTTGGAAAATGAATAACAACATAGTGGTTATAGACTCCCAATGTTAACCAAAAGCCATTAAACAAGGGAATTATTATGAAAATTCTTGTCATCTATAGTTACATGGATATTTTATCCTTTTGTTTGTTGGAAATGAATTCTTTAACAAGAACTACGGGGTCAAGCGCCCTAGAAGTTGGCAATATTTCTCTAGTCATAACTACACATTAGTAGGTTCTGTTCTTTGTGGATGAGATGGTGGAAAACTGGATAAGTAAAACTTACTGCTTACCACTACATCAAGTGACACTGATCCACGTGTACTATCAATGTAAAGCGGAAACATGCGTAAATGAAGTGGATTTCTCGATGAGATATTAAATAGTTTTCTGTCCACGCTTTTGAAGGTGGATCAGAACTACAAAAAGATGGAGGTAAATTTATTTAGAGTCAACTGTTTGAATGGCAACTAATTGAACTGGGTTTCCCAGATTTAGATAGGTAATTGACTTTGTTGCAATGCTCATTGGCTCCCAATGGTGATTACTAATCACTTATATCTTACAGTATTTTCCGGCAAATGTTTAAAGCACATCACGCTGTATCTATGTTAATGTCAAGTTGAATGAAATAAACTGAGAAAGTGATTGGGTCTCTTAACCGCAAGCACACGTTACAGTTGAGCGCAAGTGATCAAAATGTTATTCTTATTACTATATACGGACGGGAATTTGCTAAACGTAGTAATTAAAAATACAGTACGGTGGAGGTAGCATAGCTTAGGTTTCACTACACATTCTACTACTGATTCATTCACAATAAGTGATCGACTGACTATAAAAATGCTTCAAACACAGTGGCTGGAGCGTTCGAGGCGGAAAGACAGTAATGTTGAAATGCTTTTGTTGCCGTGAAGAATCCAGAGAGAACTGATTCAATGGACCAGTTTTTAGTTCAAAATATAAACCATAATGGCAGGGCATTCGAAGCGCATCCATACCACTAAGGCATACAACACAACTCAAAACACCTGAGTCACTGACCACTGTTGCACCCCCCCACCTTACCTATAAGCATAAGTTGTAATAGGAGTTAAAAGCTGCATGCAACTCGTGGTTGATAAGTATTCTTACACCTACCAGCTGATCTTGAAAATCCGCATTTAACTTGGACGCTGTTCACCTAACGGTTCGTTAACGAATTATGCATTGAAGCTGCAGGTAATTAAGAGTTGCCTTTACTCTCCTTCAAAGGTTGTATCTAAATAGAACATTACATTCATTTCAAACAGTCCTGATTATAACTTCTTCATTCAGATAGAAATCTCGCTGACCACGTCAAAACTGCTAAAACTAGTCAAAATAAACTGCAACTATTGAAAAAAGCAGCACTATACAGCTAGGTGGAGTGTCAACCAACACAGTTGGACTTGTTTACCTCTCATCAATAGTAATTTACTTGCTTATGGCTAGATGAGAAGTCCAGAACGTGCGTTCCGTCCTAGTTGGGACTCGTCAGCTGGATGTATCCGCGCCTCAGGGAGTGATGTTTTCGAACCTCGTACCATGTGGTCCTAAAATTGTACAATCTCGTCAATAGCACATATTTGTGTATTATAAGTAACCAGTTGGGATCTTTCATTTTATACTTGTTTCGCTTTACTGAGTGTGATTAAGTATTACTTAGCTAACACGTAGATTTTAGCGGAAAGACATTCATACGAAAACCGGTGTAATTTGCTACGGGCAAGGGAATATTCTTTTCATCACGATTGATTTTTTCTTAAGCAAACAATTATCGGTAATGCAAGCGTATTTAAAGTTTAATTATTTGGAAAAATTAGCATTTTAACATACTAGATGTGGCTATATTTCTTTCAGAGATAGCTAAGACATAAGCCTAAATATGCAACAAAAAAAGCGAATAACCAGTAAAGAATACATTTCGTCTGTTAAATATACTTTTCTTTTACAGGCAGCCGAATGGTCAGCAGGAGGTCATGTTGTTTAAAAGCACAATAAGGGACGGAGAAAGTTACCTAAATGTGATTATTTGTAATAATCTGTGATTATTAAAATAAAACATTATGTATTCAAACCTTTTCAATTTGTGGATATATAGATCGGTAGAGAAGCAAGTGTTGTGAATCACCTTTCGTAAGTCAGTGATTAAAGGAACAAAGTAAAATCCTATTAGATTACTTGTTTATTAAATGATTATCAGTTAGAATTTCCATTTGATAAAAGTAGGATAATCACATTTGAGGATAGCATCACATACACGAAAAGAAAGGAACATATACATCCATAATGGAAAACTAAAGTGTTTTGATCAGTTCGGAAGCCCAGTCACGTAAAGCTTGAACTTTATCGTTCGCTAATGAAATCAACAGTTGACGAATTGATTCTCGACATAAATTTGTAAAGCCTAAAAAGGAAAGTACAACCAAGTGAATGAAATAAAGTTATATGTTCGCAAAAACGATCTTAAAATTCAATTATCTACTTCTTGATCATGCTTTTGCTTCTTCATACTTGTGTCTTCAGTGTTATGCTACATATTACTGATATACATAGTTTGCAATGCTATATTCTCTATTGCATATAACTCGTTGAGTACTGAAGATTTTTAACAACTTCACCATCTCTTAACCTAATTTTGCTCGGAAGAGTCAAAACTTGCCATTAAACACCTGAGTTTCGATACCCCATCGAAGACTACTTAAACTCAACTATCTCGTCATAAAAGATGTCACAACCATTTTCTTACAACTGATGGATACCAAACTTGCTGATGCTAAGCAACTTTCACACATGTCTTCTTATTTCGTTTCTAAAACATCTCAATTTACCGTTTTTGTACCATAGCTGGTAATGTTGTGATCCTAAGATTGTATAATCTCGTCAAAAATAAGACGTATCACTCTTCAATTTCTAGGGATTGCAAAATAGTCTAAAAAACTAAATGGAATTGGCTTACTTGGATGTCTTAAAAGTCCAGCGATTGTTCCCAGAGCATGTTCTCGGAGGAGCTGAGATTTCTGATTTTCTGCTGATCGTTTGACTTTTCCCAAAAGTTCTTTGAGGCCTAATTCAGAGAATGATTTAGAAGCTGATTTCCCGGTGGACTCAACTATTTGTGCACTTTGTTCAGGATTAAGCCTATGAAAACAACAAAGGGAAAAGGATAACAGTTTAGTTGACCAGAAAAGGATATAGGAATAATATATTCCGAAAAGAAATCAGTAATGAATGGAAACACTTACTTTGCAAGGACAGCTAGTGCACTAGCCAAACAGGCAACTTGGACAAGTTTACCACTCTGCGTCATCACAGTATTCAGAAGAGTCATTATTTCAGTGAAACGTGGTACTGGGAAAAGAGATAGTAAACAAACAGATATATGAATTAGGTCCTATGACAGATTGAAGGAACACAGTATGCACTATGTTTGTCACTGACGAGATATGTAGCTCAACCGAACACTAGTGTTTCAACCTTTTTATTGAAACCAAACTATATGTATGTATATATATAATATACACGATACGACTAACGATGGGACACGATACTCGACTGATACCAGAAGACAACGGAATTAAAGGTATAATTACTTCAACCGAAATAGTGCGATTATAGCTGAAAGTTCAGTCGTTTATATACTCTTTTAATGGCCTTGACTAGGGAAAACAAAACAGCATATTGAAAGTGTAAAAATGGGCCAATCAGTGTTTAGTACCTTTAACTGCGGTAAAAATAAGTGGTATTGCATGGGACGAAAATAAGGCTTGAATATTACAATGAAAATATACATATTATAGGTTAGCTTTTTAGGGATCAGTCATCCCTAAATAATCGTAATTTGTTTCTGTACTTGCGAGGGTGCTTTTAATTTGTACGTGGATATCGCTGCTGCAGATCTCAGTAAGCGTCCCCGATTCTTTCTATATAAAACTTAGAAAGCTGTTTAGAAAATGCATTTGTCACCCGATTCTATAATATGTTCAGCTAAAGATGAAGGTCATTTCTAACCTGCACTTATCAACATTTCACACTTCATTTACTTTTGAAGCCATTTAGGTAAATGCTCTCCCACCCACACTGGTTGACTGACAAAATCAACGAAGAACCTCGCACATAGATGCATTAGCTTAAGCTGCCACACTTCACAGTAGTACACAAAGAACAGCTGGGGAGAAAAGGAATGATATCTAAGTAGACAAAGTTGAGCGAGAGAATAAACAATTTGAAGATGAAGGTTAGCGTAAATATTCAAGCTTTAGAAGATGTCAAGGAGTGAATACATCTGCCCCATTATGACCGATTTTCAGCCAAGTCACAGAGTCCTCAACCACTGATTCCTTTCGTTTCGAGGACCCCAGTCACACAGGCAGTCTGCATCTTCCCACAAGACAGACTAACGGTAAGAGACTTCACTGACCAGTGTCACGTTTTAGTCTGGCTACCCTGAACCCTTTTCCAACCCAATCCAGCTTCCCCTAGCATGGCACGTCGAGGTAGGAGGTGGCTGGGATGCCCAGTACATGTCCAAATAATCTCAGCCGATTAAGGTTTACAACCTCACCAATCGACTTGCCTAGTACTCTTCGCCTGTCCTCAACATCGCTCACACTGATTCCACCAAACGTGAGTAGGGCTACGAAGACATCGATGACCAAAACCCAATAATCGCTTCAACGGCCATATCTCAGCCGTACAACAGAAGAGAACGGACTGTAGTGCAGTATACTCGTCCTTCGATAGATAATCGGACATTTCGTCAGTCGACGCTACACATGCAACAGGTTGGCAATGCTAAACAAGCCTTTTTTGTCTGAACTGAGGCTTCGACATGACTGCGTGATTTCGAGTAGAGCGGTTTGATTAACGTTATATCCTTGCTCGGCTTTTCTCACAGTTAGACACTGCCGCGATTGACTGAGTTAAATGCCGCCTTCAGGTCAAAAAATATAACATCAGTCGGTCACCAACAGGGATCCCTGTATCCGAGATCCTGTCGGAGCGTAAAAATGGGATCGACACACCCTCGTCCAGGTCTGAAACCTACCTGGTTTTCTCGATTTAGCTGTTTTCGAGTTCTGTTCTCTCCAGTTAGACGTTGGATAACTATGGACCCTAGGATTTTGGACACAATATTAGTCAAACTAATTCCCCTATAGTTTCCACAATAAGATTTACCTCTCTTTCCATGAATTCGGATTATCATTGAGGTAGGTCAGTTTGATGGCACTGTCTAGGATTCCTGTACTTCCGTCAATCTAATCAGCGATTTCTTACCTCCATACTTGAAAAGTTTAAGCGGAAAACTGTAAAGTCCTTCGGAACCACCTTCGTAGGTACAAAGCAATTTTTCTTATCAAGATTATGATCAAGTATGTCACTCTTCTCATCTTTCTTAAATTTCGTAATAAGTGGAGAGTGAATAGGGTACGATTCTACCATGTCGGTCAATGGGTGATACATGACGTACGTTCTAGATATTGACAAACTGACAAATTTCTAATCTTGGTTACGAATGGGTTTGAGTTAGTTCTTATTATTCAACAGAAAAACCTACTGAATTCCTAAATTCATGCAGTGTTATTTTTATTGAGGATTTGTCTGTTGATATATAATAATGTGATATTTTCATAGTGTTATAAAAACGTTACTTACAGTCTTCTTTCGTAACGTTGAGAGGCCAAATAATTCCAACAGCTCTTACAGCTTGTCCCAGTTCAAAATCATTAAGTTTCGTGTTTAACCTCAAATTCTTTAAAAAAAAATAGGGAGGAATTGTAACGAATGAAAAACGATTAGATATTCAATGTAAAATCAGAAATGTTAGCTCTGTTTATCACTTTTAAATTACTTCAACAGAGAGAAAGGAAGTGATTTAGGAACAAAGGGTAAAACAAAAACTGAAAGGACAGTTTATTCAATTTTGCTAGAGGAAGCTTACTGGAAAATGACAGAAATGCAAAGAATGATCATGTTTTATGTTACTTCAAGCATATAACTGACTTCTGGTATTCAGTGTGTTATTCTTCCTTATCTAAATCAGATTTTACGTTTCCCTCGTCGTTTTGAAACGTTTTATTTATTGTCTGCTTATCAAGTATGCTTCAACTACTTCTCAATCGGGTGTTAATTGATAAGTACATCAGAATACTCATTTATTCGCTCACAAACTGATACTCGAATATAGTACTGCCACTAACTACAAGTGATATCGTTAATATACTGGTGCCCTAGAAAATAAAACCTTCATCTGGTATACGCCTTTAAAAACCATATAAAGAAGTGTACACAAGAAGTATGGGCTGAAATTTCAAAACTGAAAATATACTGATGTGATGACAGACTGTCAGCAATCAGTACATGAAAATTATGAAGACTGTCTGTATACTGAGTCAACTTATTACTTGAAGTAGGATTTGTCATAAACGTTTTGGTACTCAGCTTACAAAAGGCATCCAAGACCTAACTAAACATTACACGCTGAAATCGACGAAATAAATTAAAACAACAACGACTTAAAAAAGCGTAAAAACGAATTCAAAACAAAGATGTTACGGATTTTCAACTGGTGAGAAGTTTACAACACAAAAATGTAACGAACCTCCGAGTTCTTATTCTGTGTAGAATTCTTCCCGCGTTTCAACCACTGTGGAACGATAAGCACAAATAATTCCGATAAATGATCAACAGATTCATGATGGGATTCCGTGGTCGCATTTTCGTCTGGGTTTCGATCAGTAGTTGAGCAGGTATGATTAACTGTAATGGCATTACGAAAACACGCTTCATTGAATGATGCAAATGTTAAGAACGCTTCAGCTTGATATCCCAGTCCAATGCCTTCGGCTCGTCTTGGACGAGTTTCGCGTTCAAGCGCACACCACATCTAAAATTTGAAAAGGAATTACTGGTGACAATACCGCATATTAACTCAACAAAATACCATTAACATACTCCAGTTTATAATAAGTCAATCATGTACGTACGACTTACAGAACAAAAAATGCGACTGACTGTTCCCTAAATGTGAGGACTTTAAAATCAAGAATGATAAGCAGAATTCAAGTACCAACCTACTTAGTACGAAGAAGCGGAAATCAATCGCTTCTGATAATTATGTACCTACATTCATAAGTTAGTCATACCTTAAGACGGATACTCATAAATATTATCCGTGAGCTTCAGATTTAAAAAAATTTATATTCTTCTTGTTTAATTATATATACTTCAATTTTCTGCAAGGTTTTAAACTAATGTAGTTCTTTGTGTGACGCCTTATGTTGCTGTATTTACTTGACCGTTAGATTAGGCCTAGTTACATTTTCAGTTGTGTATATTTTATAGAAAGATCTATCTGGGGACTGATCTAATAATACGACTTTAAAAAAAATCCTACGTACGTACATCAAGCTACATGATTATCAGTGTCTTTCAAACAATGTAATCTCCCATTTATAATTTTTGCATCCGGTTATGACGCTACGTGGCTGCTCAGACCTCGGTCCAGCGGAGCAGGGTTACAACTCGTACCTTTTGGTTAATAGTGAGCATCTAGACTAAAAAACCAGAGCCCTTTGTAAATACGCTTGCACTGTATCGATTATTACTTAGGTAGGTGATAATCGCTTTCTATAAATTTGCACTAATGGTTACCGTGTGTTTCCTGCTTTTCCTTGGCTTCTTGAGTAGAGTAAACACATTACTTATGGATACTGCTTATATCTAAAAGTTCAAAACAATTCAAGAATACTTTTCTACGAAGCAGAAAATTCTTACAACTGTCAGTCCTAGCTCTATTTAAATAAAAAATATTGAATATGAGAAGCATTATTACTTGGTGAATAACATCTTGGTCTGCCAGCTCTTCAATAATACTCCGTTGCTCCAAAGCAAATTCAGATAATGCTCTGGCTGCTCGAAGTAAATATACCTAAAAGTGAAAAAGGAAGGTCTCCAGTGAACAGAAGGATGAAAAATACTATAAAACGGAAAACCTAACTACGAAAATACCTTTTATTGTGTAAACGAGAGAGCAAGCAGGAAAAGAACACTTAAAAAATCATGATTTCCTGGTTTTTTCGTAAGTGAACAAATGATTTGAACTTCAAATATGCAAAGTTCCAAGTGCTTTGAGAGTTTCATGTAAAACACTTTATCGCAGCAGTCACTACATAAGGGACAGTCAATAACAAAGTTTTTTCTGGAGATGTTCCAGAGTTTGTTACAGTGTGTCACATAAAAAGCACTAATTAAGCCAATTTATTCATTTGCAAAACAAAGGAATGTGAGCTTGGAAATTGCAACTATACGACTTGCCTTTCCATTACATTTAACTCAGTGAGAATAATAGGTAGCATTTTGTCTGCTAAGACCAATATCGAGTATTTTTCTATAAAGCTAGATAGTTTGAAGAGACCTTAGAGAAACTGTAAAACGAAATTGGGTAGTATTTGCCAGTGTAAAGATGTCATATAACCAAATACTTTAACTAATTAAGATGGCATTTCTTCAAGAATCTCGTTCTTTATCCGTTGTCCTAGTTAAGATAGATTTGTGTTTTTATTTACTACCTAACAGGACTAAACCCCTTTGCATTGATTCGACTCAATCCTGATCCCTGCAGATAACTGCCCGTGTACCGTAAAACTAGGTGTGTGTGTGGGGGGGGAGGGGACATGAGCAAAAGTAACTTGAAAAGCAAACTAACAAGTTGATACGTAGCGACAAGAAGGCAGCCAATAGGGGAGTTGTTTTCAAGCCAGGATCAGATCATGTTCAGGTCGTGATTTATGCATGCGCTGACATGAGAACCTGGTTGGAGAAGTTCGACCTCATACAAGAAATCGGATTAGTTCATTTACAGCTTCACTTTCTGGGAGTTTTGTAAACATATATGTGTCATGTATTTGCCTAGTAAGAGTTGTCACTGTCCTTGCAGTCACAGGCCGTCTTTGTCTTCTAATTTTCCGCGGCTCAGTGAAGCAGAAGGGTACTGAGGGAAGTCAGTCGTAAGGGTATTTGGTTGAGGTGTCTATCGAGTCTCAGTATCATTATATCCACGCGCGCAACCCCACCACTCGGTCACAACACAAGTGATACACGGATTAATGTTGAACATCGGTGTTTAGCGAAGGAAACAGTGTTATGAAACAAATCAAAATGGATAGCTATCATTGGTTTTACAAGTGTGATTAACCAATCCATAAGGTAAAAGTTAAGTGTACATTTTGTGTCTTATGATTATGAGAATCTCTCTCTCTCTCCTCAAAAAAGGTTAATTTAGTCGGAAGTAACGACAAAAGTAAATTCACTTGGTGAATTACTTACCTTTCCAGGCCATGGTTTACATTTGTTAAGAGCAGTGCATGTTATTTGAACAAGAACAAACCATGCATGAACCGCAGACTCTTCCTTCACCACTACTACCTCATCTTCGTCTTCCTCATCATCAGAGAACTCATCATCTTCATCAGTCATTCCTTCATTCTCCTCTAAATCAAGGATTTGTTGCTCTAAAATCTCCTGCACTTCAACCTCATCAGCATCTGCTGAAATACACTTATTCGGATGTGAGCATTGCTTGCCTTCAGAGTCAGGTGTCCCATTAGAAGATTTAACTGAATCTGCATTCTTGACATTCCCCGGTGATGTTTCAGCGACAGTGTAATGCTGAATAGCTTTCGGACACGGACGAGCATAACATCTGGTGCGTTTATTCATACCATTATTAGAACACGTAGTAGAAAACGGTTGGCCGATCATCCGAGTGGCTAGTTGGAGAATAGCGAATGAAGCCTGATTGTGCACTGTCCAACTTGGTGACTCAAGTAAGGCGTCATATAGCAACTGTGTACAGTGATCTAACAGAGGTCGTCGTAGAAAGCTATTTGCTAAACCACTAGACAAAGGAAGAAGCGATTTTAAGCCAAGAGTTACTGCATTAGGCAAAAACACTACAGATTGAGGTGAACATGGAGTAGATGGAAGACGGGATATCAATTCTTCCCAACACTCTTGCCATAACTGTTGGTAAACCTTGGAATCATTCTGATTTGCATTGACTAAGGTTTTCTCCCTAGTAGAAATAGATATATTTGTGTTGGTTTCAAGATAACTGGCACTGACAGTATTCATATCAGGAGAACGGTTGTTTGGATGAAACATAACGCTACTTGTTTTGAAAGATGCCAACTTTTCAGCTTCAGATTCAACCTAATATAAGATGGATACAACAGCGAGAGAATACAAAATAATTATCAAAATGCAACAATTATCAACAACCTGCCGGTAAGACGTTATTCTTACCATAATAAAGCCGCTTAGTTGCCATGGTATCATCACTTGGTAAGATTGAATAAAAACGTTTCTTGTCAAATTGAAAAATGACACTAGGGTAAAAAACAGCTTATTAATCTACACTTCACGGGAACAATACACAAATGAACTAGGTTTTTAACCTGTCCAAAGTATACAATTCTGTAGCAGTAGTAGGCGCATAAGAGAAGTAATCCTGACACAGACGGGACCACTACTTCCATGTATAAGCGATTTAAAGTTCATATCTGATAGACTGACAGTATTGCAGTGGGAAGTTCGCTGGGTCCCCTCTATCAAAAATGTCATACATGTAAGACGATCATATCTGAGGATCTTTATTGAGAAAAAACATTTAATGCGGCCATTAGAAAAACATACTATGCAATCACGGTCAAGACAATTGAAAACACTAAGGCATTAGAACATATGTGAATGACGATATCACATCCCACTGTTCTATGAATCTATGTGTACTTATGGGATATAGAAGTAGGGATGACTAATCAGTCCTGGAAAGTAAAGGCATCGGACCATATTCCGAAGTAAATATCACACAAAACCTTGTTTGATAGATTCGGTTTTGAAAGCACAGTCAGTGGAACAGTATTTTTGTTGAGTTATTTTAATCATTCATTTGGCCTTATCACAGTCTTATCCTATCAAACTTTTATTTCCTTCATATGAGTCCGTGTATGATCAGATTGTTCGAAATGTGTTGCGCAAATACATTACACAATTCAGACGTATTACGTTTTTTTAAAGTGTTTTCGCAAAATAAGATAGAAAACTGACACTAAATGAGTGTTTTGACCAACCTGTTTGCTCAAGAAAATCAACGGTAAAGTAATACCAGCATGAGCGTATAAGAAGTCAGTACATTGATGAGCAACAGCGTGTAAGACACGAGCACATGCCCAATGACTTATTGATATAGCACTATCAGCATGTACACCACCGTCTGAACTGGTTGTATCTTGTTCAGGTTGTAAATACCAGGATCGAACACGGTTGAAAACTTTGTAACACTAGTATCCTAAAGGGTTTGAGAAAGAAGAAACATGACAAATAATGAAGAGGTATAAAGGATTATTTAAGGGATATTAATCTACAAACAAAAGTGAAATTTGTTTTCTTACAGCTTCTAGGTAGTAAATAGTGCTGACATAGGGGAAATATAACCATGTGTATGAGATGCTGGCACAGATTTAACTTCACTTATGTACGAACAGATTTAACCATCCAACCAGTTTATGTTCTGAAATCAAGTACGTAGTCGCGCGTAATATGTTGTATGAGCATTGTTTTCACAATATTATCTTCACTTAACTGGACTGCATATATCACGCATCAGGAAAGAATCAGCATGACTTTTTTACATATTTTTCTGAAGCATATACACGGCTAGGTACAAGATTCTCGAACACTGTGATGAAATTCAAACAACTTCTTCCCGAGTAGTTCCGTAAGCCAGCGGCATGCAGTAGCGGTAAGTCATAAACCCAATGTATCAACCTACTGAAATTTCACTCAATAAACATGCGCACGTTCATGTGGTAGACAATGAGCTAAACCTATTGTGATAGGGCTAATAATACTATATAGCTGTTCAGATAACAGTAACAAAGGCAGGGTTCGAACCCGCTACCCATTGGTTAGTAGTCAAGAATGTTGGCTAATATAGTCTCACATATACATTTTTCAAATGAAACTGCTTTAGCCGACTAACGCTTTTGAACCGAAACGGAAAACAACCCATTTAATTTCACATACAGATGATAGGTGACATGTAGCAGGTACTACTAAATGGAGCTATTTACCTGCAAAAACCTTGGCAAGTAGATCAAAGTTATAAAAATGTAACAGTAGTTGAAAACTGGGTGCTGAAATGAATGAATTCCCATATTAACATCCAATGAAGTATTTGGTATATTTACTCACTTTTAAGCAGTAGGAATGATAGCGAATTGTGATGAGCAGAATCACAAAATTAAAGCAGTCATAAAACATGATTTCCTTCAAGAAAACCTGTTTTTAGGATGCTTAAGAACTGGGCAAAAAATAAATATTTTTGTTGTTTCCTTCAGTCTTAAATTCGTCAATTTAGTACTGACGGGTTCGATTGTTCAATTTTGTTTCGAAAACATGGTAGAATGTTTCAACGTACTCTTAAATGCCGGTTTTAATTTTAAAAATACTGGCTCAATTCTACAGTAAACACAGATCATCTTTTAAATTAAAATATAAATTGATTGTTCACCAAGTTCACTCACGTTCAATGCAAATAATGATAATGATAGGAAAAATAGTTGGATGAACGGATGTTAGATTAAAAAGAGAAGAAGGACTACGGAGGTAAACAAAATAGGAAGTAATATATGATAAATTGCATTAATTTCTTTCACCAGGGGTGCAATGTGACTTCTACCGAACACTAGGAAAGAACACAGACACTTGTGACTATAACATAAGAAAACGTACATAGAGTATTGGTCAACTGATTCACCTAATGGAGAATCTGATAATTGGGACAGATAGATCTTACCGCTCATCATCCCACCGTAAAAAGTTACTGAATTGTTCACCAATGTTACTATAATTTTTGATCGACTATTACTTGTCAGATATTCGGTTATCTGTCACAGCTTTTGCATAAAAGTGATTGTTTGTCTTATTCCAGTTCAATTCTAAACCATGTTTACAGTCACCTGGTCAGCAGCTAGTTCTGTTGATGTTCACTCGATTAGTTTTTGTCACATAACAGAGTCATAAGTATTAAAGTCATGAGCAAAGTATGAAGTTCGATCACTTGGTTTAGTACACAGTTTGTTACAGATCAGTTGCAGTATTTTTGTCCATATATAAGTTAGAGTTAAAAGAGGGTTGTGTAACGTTTACTACGACAAATAATGACATTAACAGTTGACAGGCAATAGAGGTTACAATATGTTTTTATTCACTTATTGTACGCTTTGATGAGTTAGGTAAGAATTATTTGCATACCAACTATGATTATTATGTATTTCCAAAAATAGTGAAGTATGATATTCGCAAAAGACTACCATCATTTATATCAATACGATTTCCTTGAAAAACTAAGGAATTGAACACACTAAGTAGCTTACTTTAGCAAACCGCAAAAGACTGGCAAGAGTTCGAGCCATTTCTTCTTGAATTATCTTTCCAGCGGAGTTCGGATGGCGACAGGCACCAGGAATAGCTGATAGGAGTGCCGCCAAGAGTTTTCCAGTATGAGGAGCGAGGGAAGCAAAGCCACCACCGGTAGCATTACAACATACAGGATTTACTTGGTTAGAAGGACACGAACCAGTTCCATCAGCTGTACCGGAAGCTCCATTTGTGATTGAAGTGTGCTTTTGACCATGAAGCATTGCACGAGATCTATTTCCAGAGGTAGGCAAGTCTATTGCACCGGAGCTCACAGAATGAGGGCTAACCTCATAAGCAGAACCAGATGGAGGAGTTGGAGGTGACACGCCATAAAAAGAAGATGGAGATGAATGAGATGAACCAGGTGGTGAATTATACGTTTTATGAATGGGAGACCCAGGTGGATTATCTGTAAAATATCAAAGCAGAGAAAGGGTACGTGTGAGATGATGTGACAAGTGAGATTAGTGGTCCATTTCTAAACATTAATATAACAATTTCGTAATGTGTTTCACGGAAAAAACAAGTTCCCATAAGAATCTTGTCAAACTATAAAGTACGAGTTTTGAAATATATCAGATGTCTAACTTACCTACACCATTTGTGGTAGGCTGTGATCTGGAAGCAGCACATCTCAAACAAGTAGTCGTTTTAGAAGACACAGCCAAAGCGTTTGTATTCGCTACAGCCAAATGATTAATGAACACGCATGCTGCAGTTGCAATAGAAGCTGAGCCACTAGCTCCAGTACCTCGACTGCCTCCAGTAGCGCTGCTACCACTTATTGATGCAGTTGAAGAACCACCACCAGCTTTTATGAGTTCCGTGAAGGGTACAATGAGACGCGACAAACAAATGTCATCAAGAAGGCGAACACACTACAAAGGTATATCAATAAAATAACAGTGAAATATAGATAAACAAAATACAGACAACACTATGCACGAAACAAAAACACAAAAGGATTGTTGTGCTATGAAATTAATATTCATTGGTGGTTTATTTGAAACACAATGAGAAGAAATACAGCCATAAAAGTTTTTTTCACTTTATTCCTCATGCTATGTTTAAAAACTTCGCATTCGACAGAAAACGATAAGCAAGGATGGATAAAATGAATTGATGCATGTTGGGGAAAGACACTCACCAATCTTAGAACTTCGGCCATTTGAACTTCTTTGCACGTTGAGGTTGTGTTCAGTACAGGATGCTGTGTGGATAGATTAGTTTGAGCGGATGAAGTACTCAATCCTGACGATGATGTAGCAATATTTAACGAGTTAGGAGTAGCCTGTGAATACAAATGTAAGTGATGAATAGGCTGTCTCATTAGATTAGCAACAACCGATGGATGTATAGATGACATAGCTTGGAGTCCAGACAATACCAACTGTGGAAGAGCAGGACGTAATGCAGAAGGACGTGCTGTACGGGCAGCCGCTAAAAGAAGTTCAAGTGCTAAACGTCGTAATTCACTAGGTGGTTGACGTCCACTTTTATTTGAAGCTGTTTCTGCACTAAGCGACCAAGGAGCACGTTCAATAATCACCGGTAGCAAACCAGGTAAGAGTCCGGTAGCGGCTTCACGGGAACATGGATTCTCCAGAACGCGTATAACAAGCTGAAATAAATTTTAAAACGTATATATATATATATATATATATATATATATATATATATATATATATATATATATATATATATATATATATATATATATATATACAAAGGCATAATTAGTGCAAGGAAAAATACTTCAATCACATTACAATATGAAGCCCTGATGAGAAATAGATACAAGAACATTTCCAATACAAGTCAGATAAAATGGGATAGTAACGAATAAACGGTTTAAATGAACCCTAAAGAACCATGACAAACAAAGAAACATGGTATATTATTATCTAAAATAACAATATCCACAGCTTGTTTGTGCCTATGTATGTGTGTGTTACAACGACGAAAGTAATGCACGACCATGTACTTATTTTAACGATAGAACATTTTTCAATCCGACAGTGAATTGCATTATCTTAACATTCTTTTACTTTATGGATGTAACCTTCGAATGGAAAATTTGTTGAGGTGAGTAACACCGGACTTTCAGTTCGTCATAACTATAAGAAGACATACACATTGCTGTTTTGCACCACAAAAATTAGGACTCAAAACACTTCCACTATAGTTTGATTAATGTTGATAATTACAACTCATTTCATATCTAGAGAGCTCTGTTGTTTTTTTAAAAGACTTCAATGAATACACTTACATTGAATAAAAAGGTATCAAATAATTTTTAGGCCGGAAGCTGAAGAGGATTACGATTACGGCTTCAAAAGAAGTATCCAAATCTCTAAAGACCTACCTTATGGTGAATGAATCGAAATACAACATACATATTACAGTCTAAGTTTCAAAAATGGCTAGATATGTCTATATTTAATACAAATTCATACTTACCTTTTGTACTGTGATAGCAGCTTCTTCAGCGGGAGTTGTAACACCTGAATTATCATTTTCAAACACGTCACTTGATTCAGACTCATCGCACAAGCTAAGAAGTCCAGATAACAGAGCTGGTAAATGTCCAGCAAGACGTTTATCAGCAGAAGGATGTGTAGCTAAACTAGTGATAGCCAAGCAACAGGCATCTCTTAATTGCATATTCTGTGTACCGGTGCCACAACCTGGTGAATTAGTATTCGATGTAGCTTTGACTGCTGCTCCAGAAGTGCCGGATGCATTCGCTGATGACTGAGGGGAGTTGGGACTCAATTGTGTTGCATGAAAGCTCAGTGTATTGAATCCAAGTTGAGTTTTAATCTCACATACAATTGCGTTAAAATGTGCTTCAATCTGATTGGAAAATAATTATGAAAAGTAAGAAAGTTAATGAGGGCTAGTAAAAAATATTGACAGTTACATTATGACTACAATTCAACACAACGAAAAAAGAGAAATTATAGCAATCTTCATAACTGTAAAAACAGAAACTGCTACTCAGTATAGTAGCTCACAAGAACCAGGAAACAACACGATCGGCTAGGCTGCATTCATCACCGTAGAAACATAAAGAAGATTAGATTTGTACATTTTCTAAGATGGAGTTATGGCAAATGATTCAACTTGGAAGTTTTTTTATTGTGTAAATTATTAGAAATATTTTCCTTTGTTTTTCGGTCATCGGTCTTTCGACCCCAATACACTTTTCTACACGCCCATGGTGTCTCCTCCACCATTTAGTCGGGAATCAACTAGGAACTTGTTGGACGTTGGTGGCTGACAGTTGATATCTGTGCATTGTTATCGGCCATAGAAAACAGTAGTTTACCGGACCATAACAGTGGCGACGGAAATGGGATATTGAGAAATGGATTCTTCGAAGTTGGACAATTTCCTCGAACAACAAATGAGGATTATTTAGATACTTACACAATCCAAAATTTCTGGTACTGAATCACCACCAACTACGCCAGTTTTGATAGCTCCTTTAGTTGATGGCATCGCCAATAGCATCACTAGATTTCACTACGACCCTGATGTCAATGAAACTTTTAATAGTTGGTTCAGGCATTACGAAAACTAAAGTGAATTTTGCTGGCCAAGATGATTCCTCAAAAGTACGGCTCCAACTTCGAAAGTTTAGTGCATCTGAGCTCGACCAATACCAGAACATGATTTCGCCACAGAACGCACGTGATCTGACTTTCGACGCCACAGTCCAGACACTGAATGACGTGTTTGCAGAATATCAATGACTAGGTTACCCAGTCGTGGCCTTACCTCACCCGCTCATCGGCCCAGTAGCTCATATGATACCAACTGAGCCTTGAAGAAGACACCCTCGATCACCTTGCCGGCATTGTGGTGTCTGACATTTCGTCAAATCTTGTCCACCTGAACAACATCGATACCGGGACCATAATGCTGCGGGCCATAAGGACGGTTTTTGTTGCCAACACACATAACAACGTGTACAAAGGTCGTCCTCCAGATATCGCCACAGATCTCATTCTCGATTGGTAGATAGATCTCTTGGCTTGATAGCTGATTTTCATGCCCATGCACCTGCCTGCCGAAACAATATCGAGAAGACTACTGATCCCTCAGCAAACAAGGAGAAACTCCCTCTGTGTCGGTCAGATAGATGCAGGAAAAAGACAGTGCGGCCTAGTCTGATCCCAAATAGCATTCTTTCGAAGCGGGAGGTGATATGGGGACAGAGAGAAATGACTAGTCTGGAGAGGCAACAACCAAAATGCACTTTATGTTATTACTTCTACAGTTAGACAGACAGACGTTGGATCAGTCAATCAATAGTATTATTTTAAACAGCGAATTATCTATATAAACTAAATATATTTTCCTTTGGTCTGGCCTTCGGTCTTTCGACTAGGAATTTGTTGGACGTTGGTGGCTGACAGTCAATATCTGTCCATCCGTAACGGGCATAACACATAGCAGTTTTCCAAACTATAACATAAATATTTTCAGCATCAATCGCTAAAGTACTGAAAATTTTGTTGCTCTCTTAGCTTGAATTCTTATAGGAAGAACTGAAAAAGTCTACCTAGGCGTAAATTTTAATATTATTTGACGAAGAAGTGAATTTAGTGCCATTTTCAAGCAATACTGAAAGGTATACAACACTATTATTAGTCGGCGACAGACACTGTAGTTTAAAAGTACAGAGATAACTACTAATTGTCGACCTTACAAAAGCTTCACTTAACCAAAGTAAATACTCCTTTTGAAAACAACAGAAAAATTTCCCTTTGCAACCGCCTTCGCAATAACAGTTGAAATGATATAGTTACAAAGAATGTAACAGATCTAACAGTCTATCAATTAAAGTAACTGTCTTAATGTAACGCAACTTAATAACCACAAACAAGTTCGTGTATTTGGCTATGGATGAGACCTATTTTAAAATAGTTGATACTACTTTCTGGTAGCTAAAATTGAAGCAGACGAAGCACGTTTTGAAAAATTGTGACCTAAAGCTCTAAGCTTAAAGTGGGTTGTAGAAATAAATTCCCACTAAGGTAACCAAATTAAGTAAAGTTTCTGTTGTGGAAAAGCACGACATATCCTTTGGACAAAGTTTATTCAATATTTTATTTTAAAGCTCTGAGTCCTAAGCAAGGAGCCACAGTTGCATACATTTGAATTTAAACATTCTCATTATTTTACGTTATTCAATTTAAAGGTTTATGATGATTTGTTTTATTGATCTCAAGTTAATATCAGAAGTCGTGACCCATGAGGGAAACCAAGTCGTACGTGAAGACAGTTACTCAACGACCGGATTGAACTGAGGAAGCACTATATCGCGAACTGGCAGAAGTAGGAAAATTGGAGCATTGGATCCCAACCCTGTGGTTCAAGGGTGACGTGCTTCACCGTGGAACATGGTCCTTGATCCAATCCCTGTCGGGGTCATGGGTGCGCACTGCTAGGGAGTTTCACACTTGTCCACTGCTCCCAAGTTTTTAATGATTCTCTAAATGATGTCAGTCCGTGATGAATACCAACTTGAGATTGGTTTACGTTAGTTGTTTTCCAAGTGTGTAAAGTTGAAATAGATAAACTACTCTACTACTTCCTACAGCGAAAGCTGTAGTCAATATGAAACACCATGTAATCAGAGGAAATCGAAGACGAAATATGTCAACAAGATAGGGAAGTAACCACGGATAGATTAATAAATTGTTTTAGATTTGGAACAAAAAGAAAGCGAACGACAGGACACCGATAATGTAAAGTCACCAGGTGAATGAGACATGGAAATGAAAATCCACACAGCAATCTTACACATGTAAGTGCAGTAGGCAATGAGTCACACCTATTGTGTTAAGGCTAAGTATAATGCTACCCGGCTACCCAAACATCGGTAGATAGAAAGATATTCAAACCTGCGACATGAGACATACCATTTCAGAGACCAAAGAATGTACAGAGTTTGGCACTGGTGAAGAAGACAACTGAGCATTTTGATTAGTTGGACTGGTCGTCGTCCCTGTCGTACTTGAAGCATTCAGATTCAAATTAGCATATGCATTGTTCGAAGATAGATATGGTGTAGCTGAATTAGTTGCATACAACACCAAACCAAGCCAAACATTTTCCATGGCCTGACGAAGTTTGGGTCGGGCGAAATCAAAACGACGAACAAATATTCGAGGCACCAAACGTGGAAGAGCCGGTGCTAATGATCTTCCAAGCCGACGAACTAAACTTGAGTAAGTAATGCTTGACGATAAGTTGAAGGCTATATTAGAAAAACAACTTCCAGACTGAGCATTAGCAGAAGTACTATTGCTGCGCGTTGCTGACGGAAGGGCGATTGCCAATACAATCAGTGATAGGGCCAAATCTGGACGCCCAATCTGTTGGGTTAGTGTACAAAGTTCACGATATATTGGTGAACCGGATCTGTAAAGTACGAGAAAATCGATACATATGAATTAAGAGATTTCAAGAGAAAAAAAGTAGATTATCTACTATAAATGGTTAAAAAGATTTCTAGTAGGAAATACCCATCTTGAAGCAGAAAATAGAAATGTCAAAGCTTTTCATAACCACGGCGAATAAACAAGCATCCACCACCCGCTCAAAACTTAGTGAAAATAGTAAAAACTGGATTGGGTATCCTGTCAGGTACCAGGGATTTTAATGCGAGAGGTAGGGCAATCCACTGTTTGAAACCGAAATCTACATTTTTGTTAAGCTGAAGTTTCTAAGACATTATGAAAAAGTACTCGTGTACATATGTCGCATACGAGTATTGATTTGAGGATGATTAATTAGCGGTAAAGATAATCTACAAGAATTTGAGAGCCTCAATTTCATGCCTGTGGCTACTCATTTGCAAACCCAACCAGAAACAATGAAAAAATTTAGATTTCCTACGAGATTTGAGCATGCGCCACTCTATATTGAGGTTAGATACTTTACCACTAATCTGTTCTGACCACAACTTAGTGCAAGAATGAAATATGTACACGAACACTAGCAACAAATCTAGGGCTTAGTACATCAAAACAGTGCACCGTAATCTCGTGTAACTTAGTTTCGGATTCATATTGCAAACCTGATCGGCACTTGGTCGTACAATATTGCGAACTGGCAGAAGTAGGAAAATTAAACCACTGGGTCCCGACCCTGTGATTCAAGGGTGAAGTGCTGGCCGTGGAACCTGGAGGTCCCGTATTTAATTCCTATCGAAGTCATGGGTGCGTACTGTTGAGGAGTTACACACTAGGACGAAACAGTTGTCCAATGTTCCTAGGTCTTTAATGACTTCGGTGAACATCGATGTAAGGTTATGTTAGTTAGCATTTAGTGAATATTCCGTGTAACTGCCAAGCTTTATGCCAATATTCACATGCATTGGAGAAACACCATACGAACGACTACAACAGATCCTCTGAACATGGATAACTGTCAAGAAAAGATTGTTTTTCAAAACAATAATATTAGGGAAATCACATTACTTTTATCATTTCCAACAGCTTTTGTTAGACTCGCTATAAGTTCTGAACGTTCTTCTTCCGAACTTCTATCGTATATTAAACCCAAAGTAGCAACAGCAACACACTGTACGGACTCTAAAATCAAAAGAAAATAAAACCAAACTTAATCTAGATCAAATTGGAAATTATGATCCGTTAGCTACGCTTTTTGGTTTATTGATTAAGGGAGTTGACTTTCAACCAGTGAGTCACGGATTTGAACACCGCCCCATCTACTGATGTTTGGGCAGCCAGGTAGTAGCATCAACCCTCACACAATAGGTGTGGTTCATTCCCTACTAAATGAATGTGCACAAGATTACTGAGCGGATTTATACTTTTTCGATCTGTACCCAATGCGTTTTGGTTTCAGCTCATCGCTTAAGGAAAAAGCATAAAATGCAAGAAAACCGCTTTAATTGTTAGATAACCTAACTTGCAAACGTCAAATAAAAATATTGCAAAGACTTTTAGGGTTGGTGAATTTGTGGATACAAAGATCATATTACTAGTTCAACAATAAATGTGTTCGTTTTCGATAACTAGTGTAATTGTGCGTTTGGAGCTAACATCGAAACAAAGAAAAGTGGCGTTTTACACTCTTTATATTTTGACTGTTTTACCTTTATACAAATGGTCTTTCTTTGGAATTAGTAAACCGAGTGGTTTTACAACTATCTTTTTTCAACTGACGTTTATAGAAACAGTAAAATTATTATCTGAAAAATCAGTGAATTCAACTGTTGGTCTGAGCCATGTACGGAAAAGTAGGCAGGTCTTACTGGAATCCTAGAGAGAAAAGGAATAAGTGGTTGGAGATGTGCGCAATCTTCGAGATCATGAAAGTTTTGAACATTTTCACTGACTCTTTTAGAAATTCTTTCTACTCCCTGCACATTTCTTTTCTGCTTCAGCATCACTTTTTATGTACTTGTTCTTCGCATATTGTTGCGAAGTGTGGTAACTCAAAGTAATGCACTTCTGGGTAAGATTCTATGCTGATTTCGTTTGTCTGATAACCGCATAAAAAAGCCATTGTTAGTTGAAGATGCCAGTATACTGAGTAACAGTCTACAAGTTCCGTAGAACACTTATGATTTTACTGTAGGTCATCCATCACCTCCCACGAACCCTGCTCGACCTACCGAGGTTTGGGCAGCTACGTAGTATGACTGGCGCTCACACAATAGGTGTGACTCATTGCTTACCGCATGGATGTGCACAAGATGGTTGAGTGCGTCTACCTCTTTCTCAGCCACTACCTTTGAATCCTCAAAAATGTAGTAAAACTTCGCTGCAAAATAGATCTTACTGGAATTAACGCACCTGGAAAATGCTTACTTAACAGATTAGCTAAACATCGTGACAGATAAATGGCTAGACGAACATCAAGACAACACAATTAGTACATTCTAAATGATTAGCTACTTCTTGGTTGTATTATGTTCTCTGAGCTGGGTTTCTTAGTCGTGAAGCTTTCATCATCTTTCTAGATGACATCATCAGCAAAACAATACAACCATGACCATCCACCTGAGCTACGAATACTCTCGACTATTTCAAAATTATACTATTAGCTACTTCATTTTTGATAAACAAAAATTTACTCATTTCATTACCATCTTTTTCATCCAAAAGATCAATCAGCAGCTGATAGGAAAGTAAAGATTTCGGTAGTGGACCCAAACGCCGTACTAAGTTGAGGATCCAAAGAGTTGCGGCTATGGTTACTGGTCTTGTTTGCACTTGTCCTGGACGGCGAGTGAGTAATGATCGTAGTTGTTCCGCTAGCCACTGACCAACAGGTCCAGTAACAGCAACATTTAAGGCATCTGTTGGGATGATAAGAGGATAATTTCTTTCATACCAATGAAATCTATATGGTGATATTGGACCGAGAATGCAGTCAGCTAAAGCAGTACCCACAGCAAGATGAAGACTTGAATCATTAATCTTAACAGATGAATGAAGGGAAACAAATGCAGTTAAGGAAAAAACTGTTGTCGTCTGAACTAAATGAATGGTAATCAGAATAAAGGATGGTATTACTATTCAATCAGGTAATAACTTTACACGTTATCGAAAACGAAACCTTATGGAATATGAACAGATATCTTTTCTTCCAAGTACATTCCTCTTTTCTTTTGAGGGACTAGGATAACGATAGTAAAACGTCTAGCGGTGTGATGAAAGCTGTGGTTCAGTGGTCTATGAATTAAGCTACTAACCATCGGTTCACAAGTTTAACCTTATCCTACCTGTTCTAAAGTAACCGTTGACTGGCTGTTCGGAAGTTGATTGGATGATGATTGAATATTGACACGATATGACATAGTGTGATCCAATGATATGTGCTCACAATAACGAGATTATCAACAAACTGCTTGTACTCGATAACGACTATCCCTAAAATGCAAGCTGAGTAGCGATATAGAAGATTGACAAGTTGATCATAATCTATCCTGTATTGTTTAACCAAGTAAAGTTAAAAATTACATAAAATGAATAAAACTTACAAAAATATGAACAAATGGTACTTAACTATAAATATACAACCATAATCAAGCATAACCAAAAAAAGTCGATGGTGAATGATTCCTTACAAATGAAAGGCTGGCTTGCTGTCTTCAATGACACTAACTACTATTTACTAGTTAACGGAGTAATACCTAGAATATTTACATATGGTGGTGCGGCTTAGTACATGAATAGCGTTGCACCATATTTTTCTGAAACCTGTTATGGCACCAGATGGTAAAATTATTTTAAACGACATTCAAAAGCTATAAACGTAGGTGCGAAACTTGTTTACTTAACACAGTACAATGAATTATTTAGAAAAAAAACATGTAAAGGTTTTGAACACCTTTACAAGGAACAGGGATGAATTATTCTGTAATTCTATTACGTTCTCTTACTGTTAATATGTTTGGTCGATGAGGTTGTGAACCTTGGTCGATTGATATGCCAAGCCACCCACCCACCTCGACGTGGCATGTTATAGGAAGTTGGATTAGGATGGAAAACGGTTCAAGATGGCCAGATCAAGACGTGGCATCAGCGCATGAAGTCTCTGACTGTTGGCTTGAGCCATGTCAGGAGATGTAGACTGTCTGGCTGGTTGGGGTCCCCAAGATGAAAGAAATCAGTGATTGAGGACATTTGGTGACATGGCCGAAAACCGGTCGCAATAGCACAGATGTATTCGCATCTTGACAACTACTAAAGCTTGAAAATTCACAGATTGTTTATCCACTCATACTACTTCATCTATTTTGATATCGCTCCTTTGCTATCCCCCTGTTCTTTGTATGCCACTATGAAGTGTGGCGAGTTGAGCCGATCCACTCCTGTGCAAAGTTCTACGTTGATTTTGCCAATCAGTGATATTTTTGAAGAGATAAATATGATACAACTAATGCATACGCACTACTCTAATTTTGTGCATTTTAAATACAAACGACGAAATTTAAAAACAATCCCTCAGACAAGAACTATCGAAACTATCGAAAATAAGATATTATTAGATATGATGAAATCTTGTGGTCCATATGTTCTCATAAATGTTAGTGGTTTTAGCATCCTGGGACGTTTAGAAATGTGTAACTGACAGTTATTTATAACAATCGAATGATTCAGTTGATAGTTTTCAATTTGATAGTGAATTTTCCAAATATCTGTGTTAGGCATTTTTCATATCCAGCGAACACGTTTTAACACACCATTTGCAGCTTTGAGTAGTAATAACGGGGAATATTATAACACAAGCAGTTGTATAATCAGTGAATCAGAACTCACCTCAGCCGTTTCAACCATAACCTTCATTATAGGTATTGTATGAGGATGACAATTAGGCCTTAAATTTTCTACAGACTTATTTCCAGAAGAATTTGATACTTCATCTTTGGTTGTTTGATAGCCTTCACCCATACAAATAGCCGCCAACGTACGAAGAGCAGCCTGAGAAACTCGTGGATATCTGACAGATGAAGAACGTTCTTCACTTGAAGTGGGAAGATATGATACAATACGATGAACGAACGCAGCTTTAGAAGTTAATAGTGAAACTGATGTGTTGTTTCCTGTAATAGGTAGTGTACCAACTGGTAGATGAGATAAACAACCAGCTCTACCAATGACGACAAGTGCCTCAAGCAAGGCAACTACTGTGGCTTGTGCTACACTGGAATTCACATAACAAAATCCATCATTGGCAAGAGTATTTTTCGTGTTGGTTTTCAAACTATCAACAAGCTGATTAGGTTTCACCAAGAAGGCATCTGTAAGAAAGTTAAAATTGGATGTTATTATTTTCAGAATATAAATCAAATCAGCTAAGAATGAATATTTAGGAGTACATCAATTTATCTATAGACAATGACTAGATATTTCATTCAATGTAAATATAGTTGTATAAGATATTAGTTAAAATAGAACATGTAAAGCTGCATTCAGAAATTTTGATTTTTAGCTATTCAAACAGTTCATAAATGTACCTATGCCTATCAGAACATCCCCTAATAGTATTATGTCACCTAAGGACTCAAGTAAGGGTGGGAATTTGTTAGAAGTGACAAGCGTGTGACATTTGGAATTATAACTATAGTAAGATCGAATCAAAATGAAGATTTCTAAAGAATACTACATGAGACCACCTCAAAGGTATTTGGGTGCCTATGAAATTAGTAATAGGATACACTCACCAAGCATTTCCCTATGTAAGAGGTATAACCAAAAGATGTCTCAAATGATGAAGTCAGTACTACATAGGTTTAACTTTCCGCATTTTTACACGTCACCAAAGATTGGATCAGTAAGTGCTTTTCCTATAGGGAACATTATGCATGAAGAATTAGTTAATATAAATTAATGTTGATTAACTTAAGGGAGAAACATTGTAAATATAAATACAATGAAGCACAATTACTTAATCAAAAGAATTTTCAGATTGTTTTATTTGTATGATGAACTCCAAAAAGTAAATAAACATGATAGAAACAAGAAAGAATAAGGTGAGAATTAAGGGTGAATCTTAATAAATTGGTAATTACATAGATGTTAGTACACGAGGAAGAGAACTAACCCATTAAGCTTAGCAGTTCCTCTATAGTTTGAATAATATCTGTTTGAAGATTCTTTTGACTTTGTTGTTTTTCTTTTTTCCCCTTCTTAGTTTGTTCTGTGGAGGACTGTTTATTATTTTTTGAAACCATACCAGAAGAATTCAGCGGTACAACATGGGCTGTGAATAATCGTTCAAGAAGATAAGCTGCACCCATGAACATGCCTTGCACTGCATGAGATGATTCGCCATCAACAACAGCCCCGGGATTAGGTAGTGCAGCAAGCATACCTTTCGCTGTCTGTAAAGCTTGTGCAGGTGTTTCAGTCTCCATCACAACTACACTGTAAACAGAAGCACAGGCATGACGACAACTTGCTCCTCTGGGTGTAGCTAAAAGTACACTCTAAAAAGTAAGAAAAGTAAGATCAAAAATAAAAACCATAAGAAAAACAAAACATACAACAAGTTCAGTCCTGAGATTTAGAAGCTTTTAGATTCCCCAAATTAAAAATTGCAAATGCAAAAATGACTGGAAAGTCATAATCTTAACAAGGATTTGCAATCTACGTATCGAAAGTTAAATATTTGGAGAGAAAAAATGTTGAAAACATTTGTTCCCCGATACAAATTTAAAACAAGCAACAAGCGTGAAAAAAGCAGGATTTAAAAATGTTAGCAAAACACATCAATGGTCTTATTGACATAAGAGTAGAAATTTGACAGTGTGTTAGTGCATATATTTATTTTGACTGAATTTTCTTATCATCACTTTGCGCCTCACTGCCTTTTTACTTGATGTACTGATATGGGGTGCGGCAACTCGGGCTGTTACGCACTAATGCCTGGTCTTAGGTTGATCTGGATGGTGCATAGTCCCATGTTAGTTGCCCCGTTAAACATTTCATATAGTGAATCAATATTATTTACTGGACCCAGTAAATAAGACTTCAAAATAAGACTTATTAGGATTGTCTGCTTGAGTCGGCTGAGGAAGAAGATGAATCTGAATGTCCAAAGTTCACCACCAGGTAGTTAATGAATGTGAAGAATTACAGTGGAGTGAGTTGCAAAGTCTTCATTTTGTGGCACTGCTGCATCTGAGCAGTATTCCAGCTTTCACACAAAATATAACAAGACACAGCACCTACAAACTTGTGGGATAAACGACAGCATCCAAAGTAACAAATAAATAGCTGGTTTTGTTCAGAAGACTGAAAAAACCCGAACTTACATTCATGCGATCAAAAAGTTGTTTGTTGCATGTAATCAATTCTTTGGTATTGCCAACTAGAACTTCTTCCAAGTAGTTTGGAAAATCAGGTGCTACAAACATAAAATAAACAAAAATAAACTGATTTTTTTTTACAAAATACATTAAATGAATATCAGAAAGAATGAGTAGGTATTTCACATGAAGTACTGCAAAACTGAGACTGGATGCTTACTACTTTGTTTGACAAATACAGAACTTTACTCAGTTCCTTTCTTTGACTTACTTCAGTAGAATAAGAACGATTGGCGTAGTATAAGATCATATTTAATTTCAGAGATTCTCTTCAGCTACTAAATGTTTAAAACAAGCTTAATTTTGATATGCGATATTCCAATCTCTGGCTGGATATAAGCTAATCGGATATGTGTGGATACTTAATCGATAACCTCAAGATTCCACCCTTGATGGTCGCTTACTTCCTCGGAAAACAGATAAGACAGTAAGTCAACGGGTGTATTGTCCCACTCGGGACTCGTCAGAACTTCGGCTCTGTATAGTAACGGGAAATTACAGGTATCATTACAATAATATCACATATTTCTGCTCCAATTTTGTTCATATCAGTTATAGATACTGAACTCTTAGAAGACGAATTATATAAGATATAACTGCGTATGAAAACTAGGCAATGACCAGAGATGATATTTAATATAAGTGTGGTAAAATGCAATCCTATATTAATTTGTTTGTTTGATATATACCATAGTGATACAGTATTATTTACTTTATGATGTTCCGAGCATAAAGTATATAATACTGTGTGCTGTATATTAAATAAAGAAATGATATTTCTCACCAATTAGTCATTCATATAAGAATTAATTTACTGATTGATATAGTCATTTGGAATATGTGATCAAAAACGCACGATAAATGACGAACTATGAAAACACAAGAGTCCCACACAGGAGTTTTATCCAACTTTTATATATATATATATATATATATATATATATATATATATATATATATATATATACGTTTGAAAATTTGGTGACCAGTGATTATAATGTTATGAAAGCGTTTTAAGGATTAGGAGAGTGACAAAAGACTCTAGTGGAAGAACTCTACCTAAGCATAGCTACGAAACATCTAAACGGCATGAAACAACTTCCTAATGCTTCATGACTGTTTTGTTGATGAATAACTGTATATAAGCACCAAATTAACAGAGAATAAGTGAAGTCATAAGACATGCTTAATACATGAAAACTGACTCAATTAAAAACAATGAACTGAAAGAAGTGTAAAAATGCTATCAGCTGATGATTCCATTCCATCTGATAATGAATTGGAAAGAATCGAACAATGTTCATCGAATTAAAAGTCTACTTGGTCATCAGGACAAAGAAATATGATAGGAAAAAGACACAAAAAAAGAACTAACAATCTTTGGTATGTTGAGATCGCGTGAAAATCACCACTTGAATAAGGCGAAAATAAGTATCAATACTGCGCTTTGCCTGTTCAGGATTAATAACTGGGACATTGGAACCAGTTGAGACAGGTGTGGCTGTTGAGTTGGCAGAGTTAGTTGCTGATGCATTGTTCATTGCAAGAGGAATTTGAGAGATAGTTGTTGTTGAATTACCAGCTGACAGAAAATATCTAACAGTTTGGTTAATTAAATAGCGTACTTCTTCTTCTGTTTCATATGTGAGCCCAGCCTCTTGTGCAGGTGTCAGTCCACCGCGGGTGGCCAATAAACACAAACGAATAAACTGGACCACCTATACGTATTGTAGATTGCGTAAAAATGAAAAAGATTAGTTATAAATGCAAATTTAATTTGAAACAGCTCATCTTACATCATAATACATGGACAAAATCAACGCAGAACCTCGCACATAGGTGCATCAGCTCAGCTTGCCACATTTCAACACTAGTAAGCAAAGAAGAGGTGTATAGAATAAGAGTGACATCAAAGTAGACAATGTTGCGTGAGAGAATAAACAATTTGAAGATGAAGGTTAGAGTGAATATTCAAGCTTTAGAAGATATCAAGGAGTGAATACATCGGCACCATTGTGATCGATTTTCAGCCATGTCACCAAGAATCCTCAACCACTGACTCCTATCATCCCCAACCAGAGACTGTATATCTTCCCACACAGACCAAGCCAACAGTCAGGGAATTCATGCACTGATCCCACGTCTTGGCCTGACCACACCGATCCTTATTTCAGCATAACTCAACTTCCTCTAGAATGGCATATAGAGGTAGGCAGTCGATAGGCGTGAAATTTAGGTTAAATGAGATTAAAGTTAGACCTCAGTTTGGCAAATGGATTAGAAAACCCCAGTGTAAAAGTTATGAAGTTACACACTAGCAACTGATTACATCGTTAAATAATATATGGAGATTAACCTGTGACAATACTTAATTTTCATGGTTGCCGACATTGAGTAGCCACACTAATATAACGGGGTAAGGAGAAATAGTCACTGTTATAAAAAACAAAAACAAGCTTAGATACGCATGGAGTACCATCACTCATATGACAAAATAACATCCATTTCTTGTGATGCTGGTTTATCTAAACTGAATGGTTTCATAATAAGTTCTACTAGACGAAACCAATAACACCCTCCTTTTAAAACACATTATTGAAAAGAATAATTGAACACCTGAATTCTACGTCCCTATTAAAAAAGTGTCCAATATCAGAATTTTCGATCCAGTTTTTGTATTAAGGACTTAATATCCACGGTAGAACGCATCATAAGAAGTTTTGGTATATAAAAAAAAAAATAATAACGCTATTTTCGAATTTCCGAATCACCGTGATGAGTTCACATAAACTCCTAGTTGATATTTTCGAGTGTCGACGAACGAAATATACAAGTTAAGAGTTTCTTTTCAACAGAACTGAGTCATCCTACACCGAATAAAATGTACTGCCTAATTGCATTCACATAGTCTGATTATAGTAACGTATAATTTCGGTCGATAAACTTTGGTAAGCTCATAGGATGACATAATGATGGCTATAATTTAGTGTACAATTTACATAAATCATGATGCAAACACTGAACCGAGAAAAGTAGGAATATGTAGTGAATATACCCCACATTGAAATGGGTAGTTCTAACATGTTTATATCGATATGCCTTACTTCGACCGTGAATTAATTTTATGTCCAAAGTTAACAGATTAACAGATCAAAAAAGGATATCGAGTAGTGTTGTACCATTTCAAAACAACAAGCTAATAACTACGTGGTAACTAGTTACATTAAACTTGAAATTTGAGTGTTAGCGAAGCGAAAGAGTATACTCACCGGTATAAGACGTTCCACTTCAACGAAGGGATTTTTACGAGAATGTTGAGTGTCCTAAAAACCAGAAAATGAAAATTATATCTAGCAGGTACACATGTAAAATACACTGAGGTAACTAAGATGTGGGATTCCATAAATATTCTTAAGAAAATGATTTATGATATATCGGGAATAAGTATATTTTCCAAACTTATAATAAACGACCATAAATCATAATACTGACCCTTCTTTTTCTGAACAACACTTCTATCCATAACATAAAGTAAGAGACCTGATAAGATCTTAAAAAAGCAAATCCTATACGTAATAAACTACCTTTTACCAAGAACTATTGAACCAGTTTGTTTGTTTTTGTACTCATTTATGAGGCGTCAGTAAACTTACATGATTGACAAATTCAACAAATGACGGTAGTTTAACGCGTCCATAGACTATATCATGAATAATATTAGGATCCAAGAATTGCTCGAAAGCCATGCAAGCTTCAGTTCTTACACGAGGATCTCTAATGTAATTTACAAAAGGCAATAAACAAGGCTTAAATAAACATAATAAATGAATTCTGTTATGTTATCAACTACTAACAGAAGTGCAGCAATATAATGAGAATTTTTAAATTCATTAGGAAGATGCAAAAAGGAACACAGACATGTTTGGTCGGCAAGCATGAGGATTTTCTGAAACAATGTTTGAAATTCATAAACGATATTTATGAATGTATAATATTCTAGATTTAATCACTGTTCACTTCACTGGACAATTGGGTAAACAGTGGAACCTGAAATAACAGAGCATTCTCTAGGAGGTCTTGAGTTCTACTAACAACTATTATCATCTAGATAAATCCAGTAGTACACAATTCCAATCTGCCAGACTTCCTTTTAGTCGGTGAAAACATAAACCTGATTTAATATGAGTTCCAAGAAATGCGACATATAAAAAGAAAATACGAGCGCTAAGAAAACGTAAAAGTGATAGAGGAAGAAGGAAACAAGAAACTATATCAACAAACTAGAACCTGGTTATTAGATAGGCAGTCTCAAAGATATATTCAGAGAAGCATTCACGACTTTCGTTTTACTTTTCAACATTTGAAGATAAATGAAAACTGTAGAATGATCGCGACTGGCTTCAATTTTTTGCCATGACTTCTATCGTCTCAAACTACTAAATTGCGTGACCTGCACCGCAACCAGGATCTGTGAAATGCCTACAGATACTAACCTGACAAGTATCCTTCATCCTGCAGCACCAAGTCACATACTGACCATCTTTCCGCTCCTCCCAAGCAGACAGAGGAAAAGCAAACAGTGAAATCCAGGTACAATATTCATAACGCATATCCAAACCAACAAAGTCGATGTTCGAAAATGACAATAATCAATCAACGGCGATTTTCAACACGCCCAACCCCAGCTAGAAGCTACATGATGCTTAGAAGGAACGCTGGAAATCCTAAGGAGACTGTAGTGACTAGACACGTAGAGCTGTCTGACATCCTCAGCTAGAAGAGGTATACAGCACAAGCACCGACACCGATGCGTTGTACAGACATTTTACACCAAGACTTACATCATGATGAAACCAAACACGACCCAAATTAACGTTTGCCATTGACTTTTGATATATGGTTAGAAATCTCGTCAATCACACCTTCAATAGTACTTGTATAGTTACACATTTTTCAACTACTTCCAACGGTTTATCACTAAGTACGAATGCGAGTAAAGATCCTTCTTGATCTTATAAAAGCAGTCTGTACTTTGAAAGAGCAAAGTGCATGGCATCCTTGAGGACACTGATCATCAGTTGACTACGAGTGATTGTAGTAGCTTCTACGTCATTATACAGTAAGACATCATCCACATACCTAATGCGGAAGTCTTTCTACTGATAGTAAATCTGCTCAACTAAACATTTCCTTCACAACCATCTCGAGAATGTCGGCCATAGCAACGCTAAAGAGATATGAGGAAATCAGACAACCTTACTCAACCCATGTTGGTTTGGACCAATGGAGAGATGCAGCGATACTTACTCACTAGACCCAAGATGCTTTTTGTATAGGGCCTTCCAGATGTTGATAAAATTCTGTCGGATACCCTTTTCTAACAAATAATTCCAGAATAGAGTCCTGTTCAGTGGACTGAAGGCAGCCTATACATCAGGAAATACAATGACTGACTCTATATTAGATTTGGTTATTTGATATAGTACACATTGATACATACTTAGGTGTACACTATTATCAAGCTACCCTAGTTGGGTATTGACTGTACCGTTCAAAATGATGTAATTCACTCATAGCATTCTTAATCTTCGTCATCAATTTACTATCCCTTCTCCTCCAATTCGGTTAAATTATTCATTATATGTTGCTATGCCTCACTTAATGTCTCGCTTTGTAGTATGTGTATTTCTTCAATGGATAACAGCATATGAAATCACGTATGTAGTGTAAAAAGCTGAAGAGTTCAGCTGAAATTTATGAGTTCAAATAGATACTAGTCAGTGAAGTAATCCGAAGAACTTCAACAGAAACAAATAAATCAGTAGATAGGAAACTGCAAAAACTATAAATTGAGAGTGCTGCAAAACAAACTAACAAACTTAGTATGAGCAATTCTAATTATAGGAGACTTTACAATCCTTAAAATACCACACACTTACTTGTCACCGAGTGCCTGAAGTATTAGATATCTCGTAGGGATATGGTCTGATGGATATATTAAACCGGCAAAGTTGACCGCCACCAAACGACTCAAAGGGTCCGGCTAAAGAAAATTATTTGGAGGTTTAAGTTAACTGATGCTAGACGGATTCATGGTATGCATAAAAATTATTCGAGATATGAGAGAAAATGTTTACTGGAATGATAATAACTGAGACAATGGAAATGTCCATTTGATAGGCAGTTAGCCTTAATTCCAAATTAGATTTTTTTTATTTGATATAATACAGTGATACAGTATTATCTACTGGATGATGTTTCGAGCAGAATTTATTGTTCATAATCATGCCAAGGCTTTACTCTTACATTCAGTAAATACCAAGATGAGATTTGGAATTACTATGTGACAGTTCAAGAACCAAACTTTAAAATACTACATACAGGTACAACATGGCAAGATGATAGTCAGAGAAATGGAAATAAAATATTATCAAAATTCCTTAAGTGCAATGAGAACAAAAGAGGGGTTAAGGCAAATAACGAGATGTGATATAACAGGCAAGACGAAAATAACCTGAGGTTGGATTTGTGTCGCCGTGATCAATTCTGATCCGTAACACCTTGAGTTTTCAACCATCAATTTTGGTTATTTGTATCATGTGATGAACAATACCTAGTAAAATACAACATACTGAAAAACAACCTATTCCACATTACTAAAACTTACTGTTAGGTAGCAAACTGTTGCAGTGGTAATGTGTTGGATGCTAACTATAGGGATGTGTATCAGTAGTATGTACAGTAACGTGGGAAAACAAAAGAAGTGATGACGATCGTGTACTGAAGATTCTGAAGGAAAGAGAGGAAATCGAATGAAAATACAGCGAGCAAAAAAACAGGGATGGGATTTTAAAAGGGAGAATGTTTGTAAATGTGAGGTTGAATTTCTGATCAATCTTGGTTCGAATTTTTCGAAAAACAATCTACGCTACTCCAATGAACTTCAGTTGTACACAACACAAAAATCTTGCTCGAGTAAGAAATTAGATATTTCTCTAAACAACACAGATGAGAAGAAAGACAAGATTCGAGATCTATTACGATACATACTATGACAAAGTGGCCGATACATAAGGAAAGGGTAGTTTTTGCGTAAAGTAGTCATGTTTCGATAACCACTTTCATGTATACCCTTTACAAATCACAATGACAATGAAAGAAAAAAGTCATTGACGTTTCTTGAAACTTCTTTGTTACTAAAGTTGAGACACCTATACCAGAATAAAACTACGAGATAAGGTTCATTGACTGAAAAGCCTGGGATTTGGAAATAGGCAATACTTCGTGACACATACTTTCGCAATTACAACAACTGTTATGAAGTACTAGTAGTTAGTTGATCTCCTGATCACGATACACCATGATGTGGTATGATCGAATGAAAAGAACCAACCAAAACGGAATAACCGACAGACTGACTACCCTCGATTTAGCATCTCTAAAACTGAGTAATAATTAGCAAAACACAAATTGATTGTATAATATCTTGTATCCAGTATTTTATCGTTTGACAAAATAAAACCAGTTATGAATTGAACCCAAAATATCATGAGCGAAATTATAAAACTAAGAATATACAAATGACTAGAAGTAAAAATAAAGGTTACAAAACAACCAATGACTTCTTATTGTTCTATATAAGACTGTTTTGTCGTCTACCACATTAGAAACTCATTGCTACGTCAGGAGCTCCCTAATTTTGAACTGGAAGAATCGATGGAATTGTAAAATAAACAGAAAAATGTTGTGTACATTTCTCACACACAAAAATAGCAAGTGAATGCTCATCGCTGAAATTTACATCATGATTTATCGTAAAATTCAATTGAAAAACCCCGGGTAGTATGTAAAAGATACCTTTTCAATATTTTCGTACAACAGACGTTCCAATTTCACTAACTGCCCTCGAATTGCTGAGTAATTTTGTTTCTGTGCACCATGTAAGGAAACCGCCAATCTTCTCAAACAATGTGCAGCAGCAAGTTTTAATTCAGCAGGATTATCCTGTAATTGAAGAACAAATTAAATTTCGTAGACAGACTGGTAGGTATGAAGAAAGAAGATATTTCAAACTCTAAACCCGTTAGTGCTTACTTCGGATAGGACATCAAACAACCGAGGTAACTGAGCTGGATCTTTAAGTATGTAATTTGGATCACGTGCCAGAAAACGAGAGAGTATCTCAAACCCCCTAGCGCGTACGTAGATTAGCTGAAGCAAAAGAACACAACAGTCACTTATGAAATCAAAAAATTACTAAATAATAGAAGTTGGAAAATCATAATAAAAAACATATACTCACCTCATCAGCCGTACGCTCATAAACAAAATTGATAAGGCATCGAAGAGCGGCGATCGATGCTGACCCAGTTAGAGTTGTAACACTATTAGAATCAAGCGGAAATTATTTTTATATACACACTGTGCGAGAAAAAATTTTTCATTTATGCAATTCAAAACAGATTTATCACTATCAGCAGCAAGTATTGTTTCTTTTGTAGTAAGTAGATTGTATGACTGGGCTGACAGTACTGTTTGGTTTTAAGTGGTAGTTAAACAAACAGCTATGTAGATTAGTACTAAATGATTTTACACTTGGAAAGTATGAAACTGACCTTAGGTATCTGTCTGCTTTCGCTCACGGTGATTCCCAGCTGACTCTTAGATATGAAACCTATCTTTACTTACAAGAGAATGTCTAAGATAAACTGATAAAAGTAGGTACTGAACATCACTGATAATAGGTCATATGACAGAAAGTTGCGAATTCTTGCAATATTGCGGATATTTAATTGCAGACAATGATAACAGAACGTGACGCGTTTTACTGTTTTAGTGAATTACGCCTCCATAAAACCTACTGTTTAGCTAAGTCAAATCGGGTCTTCAGTTCAAAGAATATGGCTAGGAGCGTTAAGCAGGCTTATTTTTCAAATTCAAGTGATCAGTCCCTAGTTCAACTACATGAACAAACCTTAAAACGAGTAGTTTGCTGTTATAATTAAACCTGAATATTAGCCACAGTATGCTGATGTACCTTTGTATTTCCAAAACGAGGGTAGAATAAAGCAGAAAAGACAAAACTACGTAGAAAACAGGAGTTTATTAGAACGCATAAATGATAAGGATAACCGGTGATATAAGACTACGATTTCCGATACGCAACTGATCTTATAAATTCATTTACAAATTTGGGACTCAGTGATGGGAGTAAATTTTTTCTAAAACAACACTACGGAAAAAGAAAAATCGGGTAGTATTTGACTCTGTAAAACTTGTATATTTAAGCGATAAACTCTGCAAACTTTTTACACAGTAGCGAAACTTGATTGAATCTCCATGTTACCTTGGTAAGAACAAGATAGTTTCAACTACCACTGTTCCAAGGTTACATATTGATAGCCTGAGTGTTGAAATTATTCGGCGAAACTACAGATGCATAGATCTAAAAACAGCCCATCATCACAAGTCAAAACTCCCTCGAAAACAAAAAGTAACTCAGAATGATTAGTTAAAGCTGTGTGGTGAACAAAAATCTCCGCGACCTGTGTAAAGACTAGCGATCACAAACTGTACTTCTGTGAGATGGTTCTGAAGGAATGTATGTGTTTAAAGTAATAACCTACCATTAGATAAATCTTGTTGAGATTTTGCTCATTAGCTAAGGCACTTGACTTTCGACTAACGCGTTTCGAGTTCGAAACCCGCTTCACCCGCTTTGGCTTGGGCAACCGATTAGCATCATAAACTCTCGAACACGTACGCCTCACAGCCTAGTAAACATGTACCAGGTTGAGTTGTATCAATAATAAACTGGACAATTGCTGCTACTAATTTACTCGTTATAGCGCAGTCATCGGTAGCATGACATACAAATACAAGTTATAGCTCAGCCACAAGACTTTAGTTTAAAACTCATTCCATGTGCTTCAGTCTGTGTTCGTGAACGAGTGGTTTAGCACATGAACAGGCATATGGTTGCTGAATTGCACTGAGTTACTGACATCATATACATTCGGCAGTTATTCTACTTGTGATAAACTAGTGAAGAGTAGACTTTACCGATACAATCTATCGTTTATGATACCACCTACTTACCATTCCAATAATTTGGAAGCCAATGAATTCTAAAAGAAGTCTTAAACTAACTTAAAAAAGCATTCACAAGTGTAAATCTAACTTACTTATTAATAAGATGTGATAACAGATCCAACCCATGTTCAGCCAAGCGACGCTGTTGAATGACTGAATTTGAAGAGCAGGGACCGAGAGCATTTGTGGGTGTATTAGCAGGTACTGACTCCTCCGTTTGAGTCCTGCCGGAAGTTTGAAGTTGAGTTCCAGAATCTGCATCTGAAGCAGGCCCATTTTCAATAGGGGTGTGAATGCAATTGGGTGGTCCCCTCTGCCCAGAGTTTGGAAGTATATTAGACTGCGACGAAGAGTTCGGTTCTAGAGCGAGCATAGCAGCTTCAACCAAGCTGGAGGCCAAAGGTCCTGGAATGTAATTCGCGAGCGCATAAGATAATGGCCCAGCTTGATGCGCATGTTGGGACTAAGAGGACGTCGAGCTTCATTACGCCCCTTTTATGAAGAAAACCAGCAGTTTATCTCCTTTAGTTATTAACTATCTTACCTAAAAACTTGCTAATATATTTGAACCATTGTTTTATATTAAAATAAAGTAGTTCATGAACGGAATAATTATTCATCAATCGACAAGTCCAATAACAAAGACGCAAAAACCCATAAAAAGGATGCGGTAAATCATTTTCTTCGGAGTTAATCAAACCCTTGTTTTCCCAGGTGATGAAACCAACTGAATAATTGAATATTATAATCTGTACAAAAATCAGTTAGTCTTATAAAACATTTGTAGATACTATTTGAACATATTTAGGATGCATACTCATCTATCTAACTAAATATTTAGCACCTTAGATAATTCACCAGTTTACTAAAAATATCTATGCTTACTTTCGGATCGAATTCCCGACGACGACCGAGATACCAAGCCAAAAGTCGGTTCAGTAGTGACTCGTCTTCCCAATCGACAAGACTTGGAAAAAAAAGCAAGAGTGAGGTACGTAATAATGAAAAACTAAGTCACATGCGACCAGTTCAGATCCTTAGGCATTCAACAGCAAGACTTCTAAAAATTAACTGAAATCGATGGAACAAAAATTAAGTACAGAAAACCAAAAGATCAAATCATCAGAACTCAATGAGTTTGGAACTTTAACGACAAAAACTACAATGATTATAATTCACCTTTCAATGAATGATATCAGCTAATTTAAAACATTCATCAAAAATAGTCTGTAACCTATCAGTTCAACTGACCACAGACCATGACATATAGGGCAACCTAAAGATGCTGAATGCGTAATATGACGTCCATATACGGGAATGAAGGGGATGATATTATATATACATATATAACTTAGACATTGTTCATTCCTAATCTGCGTATATACAAAAGGAGAAACAACCAAGATGTTAAGCCTGGATTACTTATTCTTTGTGAATTTATCACATATGAATGATAAACAGAATGAGAGGTCACCCTAGACCCATGCACAGAATCATATCAGTTTAGGTCGCCGTAATTGACGGTACAGTAACAGAAAGCGAATGTAATGAAATGACAATAAACAAAAGGTAAATGAATAGGTAAATGATTAACAAAAACCCTAATAATTTCGAATAGTAAATACATCACTGTCACTGCAGTCGATTTTGCATCATCCTCACTGGCTATCTTCAACCATCAGCTCATCGACTGGCATCACTTGTTGATATGTACAACTATATCCTTAGCCTACTACTAACCTATTCTTAGTTCAGTCAAAACTTTGCACTGGGAAGTTCGTGGGTCAGTACGAGTAGTGCGTGTCGCAACCACCTAAATCGAGGACTTACCTTTTTTGCTTAGCATTTTACGCCTGACTTTTTATCGCTAACGGTTCCACGTTGATTTGTGTCGACCTTGAGTAGACTTGTAATATCCTCATATTTTGAACTTCGTTATTTTTCATCCATGTGACAGAAAGATGACTGCTACCTACTATACTAGCGTTGTATCTGGTGGTTGGATATCTTGTTGATGCAAAAGACGGGGAAGATTGGAAGAGGTCAGATGGACAATCAGTATTTACTGTTTTAGTAAGAACTCACCCATCAGAACTCAGCGAACTACCCAAGTAAGCTAAGTAGTCAGCGCATTCCACTACTTGACTCGCTATTCTCAAACTAGGAAAAAATGGACAGTGGTACTGAAGCATTATCTAACGTTTGACAGGTACGAAATGCATGCCAAATGTAATTAGATATTGACTCGTGCTAACCAGATTTTGAATTGTGTAAACGTCTTTGCCTACCTGTGTACTCAGTGTGGTTTAAAAGTTTGTCGAACAGCAAATTAACCCGAGTTATAAGTAAGGAAGGTGACAACAACAACAACAACCATCTATAAAAAAGTTAAATGGTGATCATGAGAGTAGACATTCGCTAGTAGCCATTACCTTAAATGATAAAAGCAATATAGATAGTGAGGGAAAAAGATGAGTTAGGTTACTCCATATTTGAATCTTCGAATAACGTGTTTAAACTTGTAACTGATGGACTTATTAAGAAATGGAAGGGAAAAAGCTTCATTTATCAAAAGAGTATATTCATCTTACTGAGGTGAATAGAAAGTAGGTACACGATGGAGGAAGGAATGCAACACAAAGGGTTTTTAAACGTTGATGTATATAAGTAATGTGATTACCTATTTTGGAGAGGTCGGAAAGTGTTACAAATTACAAGTGGTAATAAAGTAATTACTTACATACTTAGCGTTCTTAGTTCCTTTGCAGCAACGGAGACTACTGAGTGACGACTATCGCCATAACCAAAAAGGACTGGTATTATGCTCTCCTCAGCAGGGAAAAAATGGCGAGTGTAAAAAGTTACGATTCCCACTTTGAACTAAAAATTGAAGTGTGTATAAGGAAATATTTATTTAGTTGAATTGAGCTAGTTTTCTACATGACATAACAGGGGCTTAAGTTTTTTTGGTAACATACAGAAGTAAGGTAAAAAAGCAAGGCCCTCTGTAGTATAGGTCAACTAACACGTCTCATGAGAAACAGGAATGGAAACCAGTGCAACAGAGAAACGAATCGGTCCTCTGTAGCAATAACCTAAGTAAATTGAAACTTTTACACTAAAAGGCTATTTAATTTCCTTAGACAGCACAGGAACCTAATTCCATATTAGATTTGTTTAGTTGATTTATAACAGATTGATCTAGTATTATTTACCTGATGACGTTTAGAGCACAAATTATTGCTCATAATCATATCACTGCACATAGTTACAAATGTAAATGAAAGCTGGTGATCGTTTGGATGGATAAGAAAATAGTTGGCATTTGGAATAACTTCGGTAGCAGTTTCAAAAGGTAACCCATGTGAGACTAACTGTAGTTGAGACTGCAATTAAATCACAAAATTAAGGTGACAGAAGTGTTCGATGAAATTTCAAAAAATTCCCTTAGTTAATATGAATCGTTATTTCATTAGTAATGGAATAGAACCAACATGGTGCGAAGCTACTTGCCACTAACTATGCCGTTCAACCAAGTAATAAGCTCAAACACAAGCAAATTTACATAGCATGTAAGTGCTGTTCACGGCATTATACCCCGATCATAGAAGGGTTAGTGATATAACACCAATAGACCAACGTTAAACCTCCCACAGAAGTGCATCGGTTCAAGTTGTCACACCACAATAGCGTACAAAGAACGAGTGGCTAGAAAAAACTGATACCAGAGTAGGAAAAGGTGTATGGAAGAATGGATTTATAAATGAAGGTTAGTCAAAACATTCGATCCTTAGAATACAATAGAGTGAATACGTCTGCACTATTGTGAACGTTTTCACTGATAGTGAATAGATTAGTAGCTGGTAGATCGACGTAAGCAGCAGACTAAAACTTTAAATTCAAAACATATCAGTACGAAAGCATCATAAACAGGCTTTAGAAGTATCCAGTCGAAAGGTTATGTACGTTATTAGCAATGAATGGAGATTTTCCAATTTTACTCGCTCATTACAAAGTATTGTGAGTAGTGAGACTGTTAAATGAATGGTTTGAGTAAATCACGAACCTAGCCTTCATAGAAAATCAAGAACTAGATGCAGCTTGGATAAAGCTTATTATTTAGCCAGTCACTTGGAGCAGTGGGTTATGCGAAGGAATCTTCTCTATCCTATCATCTTAGTTTCAAAGTTATGAAAAAGGATTAAGTAACAGACAAACATAATGGTCAATGTACAAATTTGATTTGCATAACCATAAGTTAAAGACAGACATATTTCCATATTTTTCTTTATAAGGTTGAGATGCATGAGAATTAACTGAACAAGATATTCAAGCAAAATATCACCGTTCTGCTGAAATGAATGACTATGATGAAGTACCCATCTATGGAAGTACATTCTCTTTTGACTAACAGCATACAATGGTACGACATGATATTGCAGGAAGGTACGCTTCCTAAGGTCTTACCATACCAGAAAGCTCTGTTGGACAGCGATGAAACTAAAAGCAGTAGCCGTCATGGTGTGAATGGCTGCATCATAAAAGGCTCAACGGCGAAGTTGCACCACTACTGATTGGACAGATAGTGATAGCAATAACGTGTTAACTATGGATGACCACTATTCCATGCTGATGCTCCTCCTACGGAAAGAGGAGACTACGTAATCGTCAGTCCTAAAAGTACCACATTCTTTCAGTACTGCTACCTGCCTGAGACGACGGTATAGGGTTTAAACCTGGATTCAACATCAAGTTAAATCTCTAACTTTAAAAGAGGTTATGCTCCCTCTGTTCTAAGCACTCAGCCACCTTGTGTACATGTATAGTAGGCAATGAGCTACACCTATTGTGTGAGGGCTAGTGATACTACCTGGTTGCCCAAACCTCGGTAGGTGAGGTGGGGCTCACACCCGTGACCCAGTGGTTGATAGTCACTTTCCTAAACCACTGAGCTTTATCTTCATGTACAAAATTCCTTGAACCCAGCGGTCTGGTGAAACTAATTCAATTGCCTCAAGAAGTTACCTTTGACGGTGCAGTAGCCATGAAGTGTAAGTCCCCCTCTCGTCTCTAGCAGCACTCCATTTCCTCCATATCATTATTCACCTTTCACATCGTCCCCCCCCCCAACTTTTCTAAGTATTTCTTTATTAATATTTATGTATCACCTTTAATTTCTTTCAGCTCTGCAACCCTTGGTGAGAATCCCAGTTCATAGAAAAGCATTCCTGGTTACAAGTAACTGAACTTTAAGCTACAAACCTGCACCTTGCATCAGATCAAACAAGCTTCGCAGCCAAAACTCCAGCATCTTTTGACTTGAACATGTTCTGTGTTTGAGAGATATGCACACATGACTCAAATGAGGTGATTTACTTAGCCTTGCCCTTCTAGTAAATTGAATCCGCGAAATTCACTCCCAAAATCGCAAGAAATTCGATGGTAGTTTTTAAGGTCCTGTGGGTGTATGTACAGCATTATTCCCTAAGGCATGAAGCACACTAATCAGGTGCCCAGTTGTGCAATGTCACCTGGAGTCTGTTTAGACTGAAACTATGTAAGACGTTTATAGACTAAAACATGGCACCAGTGCATGAAGTCTCTAAATAGTAGGTTGAACCATGTATACTCTCTCTCGTTGAAATCGGTGTGACAACTAGATTCGTTGGTTGCAGACCCCAAATGATATGACAGAATAGATCTCAATGGAGCAGATGAATCCACACATTATTGCGATTGCCATAACATTCACACTAAATTTAGTTGTTTCATTCCAATCTTTCCACAACTTTCTATTACTTCTAGTTACTTTTCTCTTTTCCTATCTTGTCTTGGTAACTTCTACCTTAATGTGCTATTGTTAGGTGCGGCGATTCCGATGGCCAGGCAGTAATATCAAATTGGCGGAAGTGCTTTAACTACGTAGCATACTCAGGGGGCAAGTGTATTAAGTATGCGTCATTACAATGAACAAGGCTTCAGGAGTGTAACCAACCATTTATTCGCTACTAGACTGGATTTTAGAATATATATATAGTGTTGGAATTAAATTTGGTGACTAATACGATAACTATCCAACCAAAATTCAACTTAAGCCAGCAAGTAAATTTACAGAAACTTTTTACTGCAGTTAGTGATAAACTCTAACGAATGTGGTACATTTTTGTTGATCCTGCCTTTAAGTAATCGATATACGTTGAGTATGAAATGTCAGACTTTGTGACCCACCTGCTTACAGAAAGACTTGACATGCGAGATGGCAAGTGGAAGTCAAAAGCTAACTAGACATACAACCATTTTATGTAGTGACAACTACAGAATGTGTGTTACCACTGGTCGTTTCAAACAATTTACACTTTAAAAAGTAATCATTTATACCAATTGGATGTGTGTACTCATTAATTACAGGACTTGACATGCTAGTACGATAAGGCTCAACAAACTCCAGAATATTTCCAGCATGAAACTGCTTCTTCAACAATTCAAAACTAATATGTAGAAACTTACCTTTTCGAGATCTTCGGCAGATGTTATACAGGTAAAACGGTCGTGTAACACTCTTCCTAGATCGTACGAGTTGTAACCATCAGGCAGCGTCGGATCGTTCCTATCTGACCTAATCAGCCTTTGGAAACTTAAAGATTAATTACTGGTAAATGTAGAAACAAACTTATATGGAAGGAGCATCACTAGGGAGAAGAAGTCCGATATGTAACGTCTCTGATATGGAAGTTCGTTGAAACAAAGGTCTCGAGGAGCCAGTTCGTTAGTAAGGCTTTCGACAACTGGAAGCGTCAGATGAAGTAAACTGTTTGGTATAGAAGATTATTGAATGCACCCTACCCATCCCGCTGACAAACTGGTTTCTCATCAGAAAGTGATGCAAATAATACAGGAAGAAGCTTAATCTTCTGCTGAAGAGGAAGGCGAGGGAAGCCAAGTCGTATGTACATGTGGGAAAAGTTAACCAGAAATACGGAATTTAAAGGATCATTGTAGCTAAGGAACAACTCATGCACAGGAACTTGGATATTGGGTCTACATTTAAGTCTCCTGGTCACATCTCCCAGAAGTTCCATGAGCTAAAAGAATATGCGAAGGTTGCTTCGTTACCTTTTTGCGATGGTCTTCATACTTGGACAAGTACTTAAGGATAAAAACCAAGGATTTTTGGAGAATCTTTTCGAACTGTTCATCGATATCAGCCAGGCTGATTCGCAGAGCCAACCGGTCAATATCATCGCCTAAATTTGGAAGACTAAATAAAACTATGATGGGAGGACTACCTGGCCTTGGTATTTCATCTGGGACAGTAGCCATGCGATGGGTTGAACTCGTGCGCAGCGCAGCCAAGTAAGGGTGACCTTGACACGACTGATTTTGCCTCCGTCTTAAATTCAAAAGACATGTAAACTTCAAGCCTACAACATCCAGCACCAATAGTGCAACTATACGCAACTAGTAATTTTTGAACCCTATAACTCGTTTTACGAGGCTTGATCTTTATTGTTCTGTTTTTAAATCCTACGTACGGCGGCACCTAGAGGTCTTCAATGCATTCCCCCCCAACACTGAAGAGACTCCGATCTCCTTGAAAAAAGTGCAAAGAACTGCAACAAAATCAGTTGTGGGGCTAAGGAGAAAGGCATACCCTGAAAGATCATAACACTTAAACCTTTGGTTATCGTAGAAAGAGGGGTGGCTGTATTACGGCCTACAAGATCTTCCACCGGGCAAACCACCCAAACAAATTAGCCTTGCCTGCAACACAGTGACCATCATGAAGAAACCCCACTAAGATAGTACATCAGGGAGCTAATGCCACGCTCAGGTACAGTTCTTCTCCCTGAGAGTATGTGCTTTATGGAGTGCCCTGCTGTGACATTATCATAGCCCCCTCAGTCGACTCATTCAATAAACGGTTAGACAGATATGCCAAATCTCACGGTCTACCACGAACCTACTCAGAGTGTCACCAACCCCACTAACTCACCCTCAGCTCCTTCCTACCTAACATACACTATCTCGCTCCTTAATACACCCACATTACCCACAAATTCTTCTCTAGAAAATAGACCCACGCTATTAACTTTTACCTTCGAGGCAACCCCTATATACCTTTCTCTTACTTTTCTTTTTCCTCTTTTTCCTCCTTTTTTCTTCCTGTTTTCCTCCTTTTCTTCATTCCTCACCACTGCCCTACCAGTCCCATTCAGGTACCTATACAGACAGGAGTCTCGGCAGTCCCCCAAACTTCCCAGCAACCCGAAGCTCCCCCAATCACTCCACAAACCGCTGCTTACTAACCCTCAAAACATCCACCTCATCGAAGCTTTAAGCAAGAAAGCACAGGGGATTTCCTCGTTCACTTCAGGAGGGGACCGAACAACTCAAATCAAGCCCTAAGAACTAGACGCGAGAGATCAGAAACTGCCAGTTTTCCACTCCCGCACTATCAATATTGGATATTGGATGTAGATAGAAGACTTCCCGCTTCTAGCTTTCATGGTGGAAGTGCTTTCTGTAGGTTTCCTTGGCAACTTACAGCCTGAGTTTGATTGGGAAGCCATGGACCCCATTATTGGGACCTCTTCTTTCGGTCCTTTTGAAGGATAGTGGAATAAGAACACAAGCACACACTATTGAAGAAAGTTTGACCTCAACCTGTTATCAGTTCTCTGGTGTGTCGTCCTGGCGGAATACTTTCGTGCTGACCACCGTTGTACTGGTAAGGCTGGTTCATTTGCGTGAACAAATGGATGAATGGCTTTATCTCCAACCATAAGATCCTCTCAAAGCCTGTGGCAGCCCAAAGTGAATAAATTATCATGATTAAGTCTCTGTGTACGGTTTGCCAATTTACCGCGAACCGCATTCACCGCGGTTTTACGTACTTTTAGAGGAAGATAAGGGTCTATTTGGGGGCTGAGAGTGCTACCACACTTATTACTCTCATAAGCGGCCGAATATACGACTGTTAGAAGGAGATACGGTGTTGCAGAAGTGGCGAACAATGGTTACTTATATCCTATGTCTCTTAACTTGGAGGGTACCTTTTGGAATGTTCAAAGTTGAAAGTGGAATACACAAACTTAGGAAAACTTGCTTTTTTGAATTCTCACCCAGCAGTTTTGTGAGTCGTTGCATGTTGTCTCATTGTACTGCTTTGAATGATGCTCATAGAGATGGTCAGTATGTCCTGGCTAGGTTAAACACCTTTTTATCAGAGGACTGAGGCTCAGTATTAGCCATGCAGCAGCTGCTAGCATTGAAAAACATATTCTAACTTCTTTATGCACAGCTGTGTGCAAACACAAGGTTTACCACATGTCAGAAGTGGAAGTGAAATCTCCTGAACACAATATCATTCAAATTCGTCGGTTGGGTTGAAAAATCTGATTGCGAAGATGCAAACCAGGAATAAGTTGGCATATAAGGACGAGAAAATGGAGGAAAGTGTGCACTCAACAAAAGATATGCATAAAACACTTAGATCACGCACCACATGATGAACACTGTGCAGATGAGAGCACCCTAGGGTTGAAAACAGGCATAAAACTGACTTGTGTAAGCCTAAGATTTTCGTGTCTACGTACTGTTCCGGAATATTTTTGCAGACTGAATATGTGAGGACCTTTGCCCGATTGATAGGCGGGTTAAATACTTGAAAACCATGCACTGTATATGAGATGGTAGTTTAAGGCTTGGAACCTTGAGGATTAGTGATGTACGTAGACGAGAAGTAGCTAATCCAAGGTCACAGCTGTACTATTCTCCCTGCCTTCAAGAATATTCGAAGGTCCAAATAATAGCTGAATAATCCCTACTTTTGAGCTGAGCCTGCTTCAGTATGATAAACAGTTATGCTGGTGTTTATCTGCTTCCTTTGCTGTCTGCGAAGCATGAACGTTCTTACTCTAGGCGCATCTTTTATGTGCCGGGAAAAACGGTGTCTGTTGTATAGCTTGACATTGTGCATAACAGTTAGTTCACATTACCAAAATGATCAAACCCGTAAACTGGTTTGTGTTTATGTAACTTATGTTGAATGAAGTATATTATTATGTCCGCCACAGATGCCATAAATGTTCGCATCCCACTTGATCGCTGGGTCAGCTTTAGTTAAATCCCGCTCACTTTTGAGGCTGCTCCAAAGGTTCAGAGTTATAGATACAAAAATACTGGCCGCCTTAATGCAACCTCGGAAAACCACAAAGTTATTGAGAGGAAAGCATAGAACGTATTTATTCATCTTACTTCCTACGGTGTTCTCCCAGGATTAACCGATCCCCCTGACTTTCAGATATGTAAGCTGAAGGGATTACGGTCGGGTCAGAAGCGTTTCCTAAACTTTGTGCTTCCAGGTCATAAGAAACGATGATTCGCAGGTCCTGATTACGAAATACGAAGCTCGTTACAATGGAGGGTGTACATTAGTGTGGTCCACGGTCATAATCTGCTGGTAGGATCAGCAAGAAAACATTCAGCCTCGAGAGGTGGTACTGTCTAACGGAGAATTGGGAAGAACAAAATCGTTTAAACTGGATGCAATGAAGAAGTAGTTATCCGGAGATAAATATCTTACCCATGGAGTGCCTTTGATGTTTGGTATGACGCTCTTCCCACGCTTATACTTGAGGGTTTTTTAATTGACTGAGAACCTATTTGAGCTTTGATACGCATATTTTAGGCCGCGGAATCTGAAGAGACCAAGTGTCTACTGTGGTCTCTAGGGAGAGGAGACGATGTGCGGCAGATAGTTGTCTTTTGGAGATCATAACATATTACAGGCAGATAGTCTTCGGTAATTTATTCACCAACACGGTTATGTTTTCAAACCATTAAGAGGAATTCAAAGAAAATTTTAAGCATATATGCCGGCTGCAAAATATTTGCTGTCATCCACAAAGAATTGTTTGTCACCCCCGTAGGTCAAAAGACCTTCACCACACTTCGCTGTCTTTCAAATCGGGAAGGTTTCAGCAACACTGCAGCATCAGATCTGTCATCTTCTTTCCATGTTGTTAAGCCGTTTTGCTGGTGCGCTTCATCTTTTGGTCTATCACCAATATCCTCATGTCACTCTTCACTGTCATCTTTTCTTCTCCTGAAGAAACCTCTACCCGCTCGCCAGCCATAATGCCGCTTGCAGCGAACGGCCGATTGCAACCCGGTGACTTTAGCACTATAAAGTGGAGGTCAATGGGATTTGTTAAACAAGATATGTCTAGGGCGCAGTCACAGAATAATTTGAGTGCCAGGGTGCTGGACAAGATTTACTTGCGTGTAACGAGCAGTAGGAGATTAATTTTTCACCGTTCACTATAAAAGAGGTGCTTAGTCAAGAGGTATGCCCAGATTCAACCCTCTGCAAGCCGGTGATCATGAAAAGTTTACGGAAGAAGTTGACTGCGATCGCCAAATAGGTGTTGCCCTGAGTGAGTAAAATATCAGGCACGAATGAAGATACACGGGCAAAATGTTCGAGTGATTACAATTGGTCTGAAGTGGCAGATGAGCCCACCTGTTACACGGAGGTTTGGGAGATATCGCCGTTCTAACTCTCCACAACCAGCTGCTCTTAGGAAGCAATATAGAACTTCAAATAGGTGAAATGAGGATCAGCCTTGTTTTTGGAAGGTGGAGAAACCAGAGCACTGGAGAGGCATGCTTTTAGGAAGGCAGTTCAAGCAGCATGTTTTATTTTTGCGGATGAGAGATAAATGGGAAAAATCTTACAAAAGCTTATATGTTATAGATGGAACTTCGTCGTGTGATAAGGTTAGTGTTGGTGATTGGCCACTCAGAGTGGTAGTATGCAGCCCAGTAATGATGAATTACTACCATCCATTGAGGCATGAACATGGACTACATTGTTGGTAAGAGATAGTAGAAAATCATGCTTCGCTGAGTATGTGTCAATAGATAAATCGGTAGCTATGCCTAATTTATGACTTCCTGACGTAGAAAAATCGTTAACTCAAGAGCCATTATGTGTCCGTAGTTCTAACTTCTATCGCTCTTCAATGGCTGGAATCCCATGGCATGGTCCACGAAAGTAAGTAGGCTGCTAAAACTGAAGCAGGCATCAGTGAGCCTGATGGATGCCTGAGAAAGGCCACGATACATCTATCGTAGTATCTAGGGTGAGATTATCAGGGTAAAATGATATGGTGCGGTTTTGCGTCATCTGAAAGGTACGGAATGAAACTTGAGATAGCGAACCGTTTCTGAATCCATTGAAATTAGGTGCAGCTTGTAGGCCCAAACTTTTTATCCGTGTATATCTCTGAGTTTTGGTCCATGAAACCAGCATCTGC